CCATTTCAATGCAGATTTCACAATGATACGGTTTTTCACCAGTATGAATTGTTTCATTAGTTTTTGAACCACAACTTTGAGTGAACTGACAACTTTCAATATTGGTTCTTTCATTCAAATTTTTTGTGCAAATTTCTTTTTTCTCTCCAATTGAATTCAAGTAGAATCCAAAACTACATATTTCGTCAATCTCTTCAGTCTTATGTAACATTTCGTGTTCAACAAAATGAAAACTTTCATTAGAAATTTCTTTGTCACATGACGATGTTATATTCTCGTTGAAAACCTCCTCTTCCTTAGCAACCACTGTTTCTTCTTTGGCGTCTAAAAGATAATTTCCAGAATCTGTAAAAAAAACTTGTTTCATAAAAATAAAAGAGAAAATTATTTCACTTCACTATCAAGTTGTTCCATTTATGATAAATCACAAAACATTTACATATAATTTCAAAATCAGGAAACTCGAGAAATGTTTTCAATTATAGGAAATAACTTCAACAATAATCGATCTTTCTGCCTATTAAGAAATGACAATATTTTTGTTCTGGTGCGAACATTGCATTTGATTTGTAGTAGCATTTTGTTGAAATTAGCTGTATTCTTGATTTAAATGAGATCATTTTAGGGTCATCGTTGAAAACTTGTTGATTTATCTTAAAAAAAAAATAATTAATACAGTTTATTGTATGATTTCCACTATAAAGGGTTTTACAAAAACCGTGTCACGTGTTTCGCTATACAATAGATTTCTCAATCATAAACTGATAGTTTATGATTGAGAAATCATAAACTAGAAATAACTAAATTTTATACTCTAACCTATTACCTACTCGTCTGCCTAATGATTGAATCTACCTGATATGGGTGGGTGGACGAATTATGAATGATAATATCTGTATGTGCCGGTTTACGATTAATTTAAAAATCATGTTTGTTGTTAACTTTTGTTATGGTCAAGTCCAGAAAATGTATAGTGTTGTCCTGTTCCATCTTCATTGTGAATGTGATAGAAGGGTGGAGAGAATTGATGAAATTCAAAAAGTTAGTCAACTGTCTGTTCATTCCTGTGAAACATACCAGGATATCATCCACATATGTATACCAATACATGAAACTTCTTACCAGTGGATTAGTGTGTATTCTTTTCTCTAACTCATCCAAGAAAATCTCTGCCAGAATAGGACTAAGTGGAATAGGATTAAGAAGGTTGTTTATACCATTTTGTACTATCTGAAAGTTACTGTTTTTCATAGATAGTCTCTCCCATTTCACTACTTTTTTTGCTGTGTTCATTCAGTGGTCTCAAATGAAAAACATACAGCTTGAGTGGAAGAAAAAATTTAGTAACAGGACAAAGCCAGTTTGGTAAAAAACAGTATGAAGACAACACACAATTTCTCAATACTAACACTAGTAAAATAATAAAGCAAAGCAAGGTTGTAAAAATTTAAGTTAAAAGTTAAGATGTAAGTAAATGAGGTGAAAAAATTGAGATAAGCAAATCCATTTGCAGTCTTCGGATAAGTGGAAGGCACATGTAACTATAGTTGGGTCGATAGGACTGAATATGAAAGATTTTACAAAGTCTGGTGGTACTTGAAAATGTATTTTCGATAGCAAGCTAGGATCATTCAGATTATTAATGATAAATTCATAACGAAAAGATAAATCTGTCCTTTCTCCTGAGAAAAAAATGGGGACAAGTTGGTGAACTGTTCACAATACTGGTAGTTAAAGTAAATACGAATCTCGAAACTGATAAAATAGAACAATCCGTGCTGAATTCATTCAACAACATCAAGTTTGATGTAATGGTAAAAAACATAGAAAATTTCATTTCTTATTTTTCATGATGATTTGCTACCAAGTAGTAACAGCTACATCCATCAATTTATTGAGAGAAAGGTGAAGTTATAAAGTTTGGTGTGTGAATCATCTATAAGTGGTTTCAAATAATGAGTCATATATTCACCTTGTGTTACATTGAACCCATTCTGGCCCTGACAGTTACAATGAGACTTCAAACCATCAGAGTCATAGAAATCCTTTGGACTAGGCAAACCTTCTCCACAGACATCACAATGTGATCCTTCCTTTGCTTCTTCCAGACATTCTTCAGATTTCAAAACCATATTAATATCTTCACTTTTGACATATTCTGGCTCAAATTCCTTCTTATAGTTGAAAACTTCAAGCGTATCACATTTTTCTTCAGAGTTGGTATCGTTTTCATCGCTAGCAGATTCCACCTCCACTTTAATCACCATTCCAAATTCTCCAGAAGCCATTTTCAATTCCAGGTAAGATGTGGACAAGGTGGATTGAATTTCTTCTTGTCAGTAATCACTGGGCAAGTTTGGATCACTTGTCACTTTCCCTACTCCCTGAAGAAGTGAATTGAACACAGTGAAAAAATGTTAAAATATTCGGCAGTAATACAATAAATAAATATATTTATATATTATACATTTTCACATTATATTTGACAGTTCATAATATATTCCCAGTAAGTGTAGCCAACATTATAACATAAAATGCTTCCTCTTTTTTCAAATAACTTACGGTATGTTCCTTGAAGAGGAGGAGACATTTTATAACTTAATGGATGTAACCGTTACTACGTGGTAGAAGATCATCATAAAAAATTTAACTTTATATGTTTTTCATCACTAGTATTTGTTACTAACGTTAATGCAGTTTCGTCTTACATTTTCCAACGAATACAGTATTGTCATTTTAGGTACATGATTTTTTTATTACATATTACACTGTACATGTTGAAAATGTCATGTCTAATTGCACACCTAGATTATACTCTAAATTTATGCTACTCTTAAATTCACATCATTATGTGTAAGTAATTAGTCCATTAATCAACACTGAATAATGGAATAGGTTAGGAAATTAAAAATGAATTACGAATGACAGATAACATTCAAGTCATATTTCAAAAATTGCATCATAATATTCTTAAAGTTCCCTTGACCTAAGTCTTCAGGTGGGTCGTTGTGAACTTGACGTGAGCAAAAGTAATGACGTCATGAGTTACTTTTTTGCCACGATTACAACGACCGTGGATGTGAGCGCTTAGTTGAACGCACGGATAGTTGTGATCTGTGTCAAATAGTTGCGTTTCAATGTCATGAATGTCAAAATATTATCTATGGTTTTGAAACCCACTGATTAAGTACAACGTACAACTCCACACACCTGATTACTGACAAACATAAATTTCAGTTGCCAATACAATCATTGAAAAACCTACTTCGTCCACTTTTACTTGAAAATGGCTACTGGTGAATATGGAAACCTAATCAAAGAAGAGGTAAAATCTGCTCTGGAAGAACACATTTCCAAAGGAAAATGTGATGCACCAGAAATTGTTATTTCAAAGATGGAATTCAAGTCAGAAAATATCAAAAGTGAAGATGTCATTGATGTTGTTCATCATGTTCTGAAATCTGAAAAGTGTGAGGTTTGTGGAGGTTTGCTTTGTACAACTGATTTTGTCAGCCCTGATAGTTTGGACTCCATTTGTAACTGTCTTTATCAGAATGAGTCTAATGCTATGCAAGATGAAGATATGACTTGGGACTTCAAACCATTTAACATTGATGCAGGTAACATTTATTTCAGTAAAAATTTGAGAAGAAAATAAATTATGATGGATCTCATATAACATATATTTCCAACTGAAAATGTTTCGCAGTATAGTGTATCAATAAACTTGATATACCAGCATCATTTACGATATAAGCTGATACTGAGGGAGGATAAACTTGCACTGAAGCAAAGTTTACTGCCATAACAATAACAAATTTGAATAGATAATAGTTCATTTTTTGTAAAAGAATTCAGATAAAGCCCAATGATATGAAGAAAATGAGAAAAGATTATTTTTTTATGTGATCGATTCTGGTGAAAGTTATTGTTGATATTGAAATCCAAGGCATTTCAATTCAAAAGTCTAAACAATTCACATGGTATGGATGTGATTGTTGCATATTTTGTTTTTAATATAATAAGCACATGTTTAATGATCCATCATGAATGAAACCTCAATTACGTAATGAAATAAGGAACTCTTCTCTCTTCATAAAACTAGTATTTTTTTACAGATTCTAGAAACTTTCATTTTAAAATTCAGGAAGAAACACTAGTTGTGAAGGAAAAGGAGGTAGACAATGAAAATGTGCCATCAGCGTCATGTGAAAACAAAATTTCTATTGAGAAATTCTGTGTTGTTAAACACAAAACGTTACAAAAAACTGAGGAGGTCGATGAAACATTTAGTAGTGGGTACCATTCAAATTCAGTTTGGCAGGCGATTCAAGAAGAAAATGAAATGTGCTCAAAAAATTTTAATGAAAGAAATGATATTGGAAACAGAACTGTGAAGAAAATATTCAATTGTAAAGTGTGCAAAAAATCATTTGCTCATAGTTGTGATTTGAAAAGACATGAAAAAACTCATACTGGTGAAAAACCCTTTCAGTGTAAAATATGCTTCAAGTTTTTCACTCGCAAAGATAGTTTGACAGCGCATAACAGAATTCATACTGGTGAAAAACCATTTCACTGTAAAATTTGCTCAAAGTTATTCATTCAAAGAAGTAACTGGAAGGCCCATGAAAAAATTCATACTGGCGAGAAATCATTTCAGTGTAAAATCTGCTCTAAATCATATATTCAAAGGAGTCACTTGAAATTGCATGAAAAAATTCATACTGGTGAAAAATCATTTCAGTGCAGAATGTGCTCCAAATCTTTCATGCGAAAAATTAATTTGATTCGCCATGAAAAAACTCACACTGCTGAAAAACCATTCCAGTGTAAAATCTGCTCCAAGTTCTTTACTCGCAGTGGTAGTTTGAAATTGCATGAAAAACTTCATACTGGCGAGAAACCATTCCAGTGTAATATCTGCTCTAAATCTTTCTTTCAAAAATTTTATTTGAAAACGCATGAAAAAATTCATAGTGGCGAAAAACCATTTCAATGTAAAATCTGTTCTAAATCATTCTTACAAAGTAGTAATTTGAAAATACATGAAATGATTCATACTCACCAAAAACCATTTCAGTGTAAAAGTTGCTTGAAGTCATTCACTAGCAAAACTAGTTTGAAATTGCATGAAAAAATTCATACTGGCGAAAAACCATATCAGTGTAAAATCTGCTCTAAATCTTTCATTCAGAAAATTCATTTGAAATTGCATGAAAAAAATCATACTGGGGAAAAATCATTTCAGTGCAAAATTTGCTCCAAAGCTTTCATTCAAGGCAGCGATTTCAAAAGACATGAAAAAATTCATACCGGAGAAAAACTATTTCAGTGTAAAATCTGCCCCAAATCATTCATTCAAGGAGGTGATTTGAAAAGACATGAAAAAATTCATACCGGAGAAAAACTATTTCAGTGTAAAATCTGCCCCAAATCATTCATTCAAGGTTTTGATTTGAAAAGACATGAAAAAATTCATATTGGCAAAAACCATTTCATCATAAATAAATGATTACAGTAAGTGTGAGAAAACAACTCCTAAGTACTGTTGAGTCTCTGGGTATTTCAATAAGGGTACATTCCACAAGTTAACGACTACATTATTTGGTTATTAAAAATACAACATAAATCATGGTAAAACCACCAATAGCTGACTTACTAGAAATCTGTTTCAGGATACCTTCAAGGAAAACTCACATTTATGTTATATGGTGATATATTATTTACTTCTTTATTTTTTTTCCACCCTGTAAACAAATTTTGCAAACGATTATTTCGCAGTGGTTGCTTTCTTCAATTGTTAGTTCATGATTTTCTATCGATTTTCGTTACTAAATTTTGTGCAGAGTATATGAGAGTATATGAAAAACTGAATAATAAATGAAAAAATCATTTGAATTCATACATTTTTACCACCCTGTAAACCTATTTTGCAAGCGATTATTTCAGAGTGGTTGCTTTTTTCAATTGTTACTCCATGATTTTCTATTGATATCTGTTACTAAATTTTGTGCAGAGTGGAATGAGGTGGAAATGAAGTGAAAGTAGTAAAAAAGTGTATCCACAAAAATTGAGATGGTACATTGATAGTTTACTATTCAACGAGCGAGAATCTCCCCAGGCACATTTCTTATACACTATACAAACTGAAGGGTTTTTTCTTCTAGTTTGTATCTGTTCAAAACTTCTGTGAAGTGGTCTATAAATCTTTTTCAAGAACTTTCATTTTAGTTCTTACTTTCTTTGGAAGTTGTCTCACATTTTTTGTTTAGTGATGTAAAAGTAGAAAAGCCAAAAAGCTTCAGTTCCAAAAATCTAATTCTCCTTTTCATTTGAAATGACAGACACAAAGTTATATTACTTCTTGAATCATCAATATTCAGTAAACGATACAGTCAACTGAACCAAACATTGTTTCAATCAGGTCAACATTGTTCTTGAGACTGTTGTTTTTTGATCGTTTGTATAGAATATCGGCTTCATTTATCGCATCATACCAGCATCATTTATGATATATGCTGATACTGATGGGGGATGAACTTGCACTGAAGCAAAGTTTGCTGGTATAACAATAGCAAATTTGAATAGATGATTGTTGATTTTTTTATACAAGAATCTATATAAAACCCAATGTATTCAACTTCATGAGAGAAATAAAATGAGAAAAGCTTATTTTTTATGTGATTGATACTGGTGAGTCATTGTTGATATTGAAATCCTAGGCATTTCAATTCAAATGTCTCAAAAATTCGCATGGTATGGATGTGATTGTTGCACACTTCGTTTTTAACATAATAAGTACATGTTTTATGACCCATCATGAATGAAATTTTAATTAGTGTGAAATAAGCAACTCTTTTCTATTCATAAAAACTAGTATTCTTTTTACAGATTCTACAAACTTTAGTTTTAAAATTCAGGAAGAAACACTAGTTGTGAAGGAAGAGGAGGTAGACAATGAAAATGTTCCATTAACGTCATGTGAAAACAAAATTTCTATTGAGAAATTTCATGTTGTTAAACACAAAACGCTACAAAAAAGTGAAGAGGTCGATGAAACATTTAGATCTGGGTACGATTTGAATTCAGTTAGGCAGAGGATTCAAGAAGAAAACAAAATGTACTCAAAAAATTTGAATGAAAGAACTGATATTGGAAACAGACCTATAAAGAAAATATTCAATTGTAAAGTGTGCAAAAAATCATACGCTCAAAGTTGTGATTTGAAAAGACATGAAATAACTCATACTGGAGAAAAACCCTTTCAGTGTGAAATATGCTCTAAGTTTTTCACTCGCAAAGATAATTTGACATCTCATGAAAGAACTCATACTGGCGAAAAACCCTTTCAGTGTAAAATATGCTCTAAGTTTTTCACTCGCAAAGATAGTTTGACATCGCATGAAAAAATTCATACTGGTGAAAAACCATTTCAATGTAAAATTTGCTCAAAGTCATTCATTCAAAGAAGTAACTGGAAGTCCCATGAAAAAATTCATACCGGCGAGAAACCATTTCAGTGTAAAATCTGCTCTAAATCATATACTCAAAGGAGTGTCTTGAAATTGCATAAAAAAATTCATACTGGTGAAAAAAATATATTTGATTCTCCATGAAAAAATTCACACTGTTGAAAAAGCATTCCACTGTAAAACCTGTTCCAAGTGTTTTACTCGCAGTGAAAGTTTAAAATTGCATGAAAAAATTCATACTGGCGAAAAACCATTTCAGTGTAAAAATCTGTTCTTAATCATTCTCACAAAGTAGTAATTTGAAAGTACATGAAATGATTCATACTTATCAAAAACCATTTCAGTGTAAAAGCTGCTTGAAGTCATTTGCTTACAAAGCTAGTTTGAAATTGCATGAAAAAATTCATACTGGTGAAAAATCATTTCAGTGTTAAATCTGCCCCAAATCATTCATTTAAGGAGGTGATTTGGAAAGACATGAAAAAATTCATATTGGCAAAAAAATATTTCATAAATGTAATTACTGTAAGTGTAAGAGTAAAATGGGTATTATTAAAAAAATCAACCCCTAAGTACTGTTAAGTCTCAGTGTATTAAAATACAACATAAATTATTGTAAAATAAACCAATAGTTGACTTGATAAAAGTCTGTTTCAGGATATCTTCAAGGGAAACTCACATTTTTGTTATATGGTGATTGATGTATTATTTATATTACGATTAACAACCAGTGTCAAGCACATAATAACATCTGCAAACATTTCTTGGGTCGAAATATCATCAAAACTTTGCTTGGGTTGAAACTTCAACTAGTAATTCACCAGAATTTAGACACTTTTCTTTCGATTTAATACTGACAATTGGTCAGTAACACTTAGAACAACTTCTAAAGTTATCCTAAAAGCACAGTATGAAAAATGAATGTGGAAATTGGAATTAAATATAATAATACACCCTCGTGGTCTGTGATTACAGTTTACTGTAAAGGCTGCTTGCGCCATCTGAAATGGCGCTGATCTCTCCAAATCAAGTAGCCAGAAATGCCTCATTTTGTCCCAAACTTTTGCAGGTTTGAGTAATGCACCAGGGTTTTTAGACATCTTAATACTGTCACACACACCCGTATGTAGTTATGTTATTTCATCGCAAAGAGTACTTTTCTCTTAGGTTACTGTATTTAATTCAACTCGTTAGAGTGAGGAAAGTGTTCCAAAAACTGATCGACAAAACATAAATTGCTAATACAATCATCGAAGAACCTACTTTGTGTACATTTCACTTAAAAATGGCTACTGATGAATATGGAAGCCTAATCAAAGAGGAGGATGAATCTGCTCTGGAAGAACAAATTTACAAAGAAAAATGTGATGCACCGGTAATTGTTATTTCAAAGATGGAATTTGAGTCAGAAAATATCAAAAGTGAAAATGTCGCTGGTGTTGTTTATTATGATCTGAATTCTGAAAAGTGCCTGGAAGAAGGAAAGGGGGGATTACATTGTGAGGTGTGTGGAGGTTTGTCTTTTACAACTGATTTCTTCAGCCCTGATAGTTTGGAATCCATTTGTAACTGTCTTCACCAGAATGAGTCTAATGCTATGCAAGGTGAAGATATGACTTGGGACTTCAAACCATTTAACATTGGTGCAGGTAACATTTATTCCAATAGAAATTCGAGAAGAAAATAAATTATGATGGATCTCATATAACATATATTTCCAAATGAAAATGCTGTGGTATATATAAAGATATCTCTTCATGACCCATTATGAATGAAACCTTATAATTATAGAATGTCTCAATAATTCATATGACATGGATGTGATTGTTGCACGTTTTGTTTTTACCATAATAAGCACATGTTTCATGACCCATTATGAATGGAACCTCAATTATGTAGTGGAATAAAACTATTATTTTTTTACAGATTCTTCAAACTTTCATTTTAAAATTAAGAAAGAAACACTAGTTGTGAAGGAAGAGGAGGTAGACAACGAAAATGTGCCATCAACGTTATGTGAAAACAAAATTTCTGTTGAAAGTTTTCATGTTGTTAATCATGAAACGCCAATTAAAACTGAGGAAGTTGATGAAACATTTAGATCTGGGTACGATTTGAATTCAGTCGGGCAGAGGATTCAAGAAGAAAACGAAATGTGCTCAAAAAATTTGAATAAAAGGACTGATATTGGAAACAGACCTATAAAGAAAATATTTAATTGTAAAGTTTGCAAAAAATCATTCTCTCACAGTTGTTATTTGAAAAGACATGAAATAGTTCATACTGTAGAAAAACCCTTCCAGTGTAAAATATGCTTTAAGTTTTTCACTCGCAAAGATAGTTTGACATCGCATGACAAAATTCATACTGGTGAAAAACCATTTCAATGTAAAATTTGCTTGAAGTCATTCATTCAAAGAAGTAACTGGAAGTCCCATGAAAAAATTCATACTGGTGAGAAACCATTTCAGTGTAAAATCTGTTCTAAATCATATATTCGAAAGATTCTCTTGAAATTGCATGAAAAAGTTCACACTGCTGAAAAAGCATTCCAGTGTAAAGTCTGCTCCAAGTGTTTCCCTCACAATGAAAGTTTGAAACTGCATGAAAAAATTCATACTAGCGAGAAACAATTCCAGTGTAAAATCTGCTCTAAATCTTTCCTTAGAAAATTTTATTTGAAAACACATGAAAAAATTCATAGTGGTGAAAAATCATTTCAGTGTAAAGTATGTTCTAAATCGTTCTCACAAAGAAGTAATTTGAAAGTACATGAAACGATTCATACTTGTCAAAAACCATTTCAGTGTAAAAGCTGCTTGAAGTCATTCGCTAGCAAAGCTAGTTTGAAATTGCATCAAAAAATTCATACTGGCGAAAAACCATATCAGTGTAAAATCTGCTCTAAATCTTTTATTCAGAAAATGCATTTGAATTTGCATGAAAATAATCATACTGGCGAAAAATCATTTCAGTGTTAAATCTGCCCCAAGTCATTCATTTAAGGAGGTGATTTGAAAAGACATGAAAAAATTCATGTTGGCAAAAAACCAGTTCATTATAAATGTATTGTCAAGTCTATGGGTATTTCAATAAGGTTATTAATAAAAATACAACAAAAATGATTGTAAAACAAACCAATAGTTGACTTACTAAAAGTCTCTTTCAGGATATCTTCAAGGGAAACTCACATTTTTGTTATATGGTGATGTATTATTTATATTGATGGGCCAAAATGATTATAGAACCACATGAAGTGAATAACATTATTCTAACTGGAGTTCAATGTGATGTTCAATATGAAAAAATGCCAATAGTTATAATAGTAATAATGAGTTTATTTACCTATAAAGCTACTAAATGAAAATATCAACACAATTCAAACACATTATAATGGGTTGAAAACATGAATTATAGAATTATATTATTTTCAAGTAATCTCTGTATAAAGTGATGGCATTCCAGGATAGCTTCCCAAATTTCTGCTACCGCAGGTGTTGGCTGATTGGAAAAACCACCAACACTGACATAAAAACTTGGCAAGTTGACTTGGGTGTTGCACCAACAGGTGGTTCCACTTATGTCTTGCTTGTGTTTACGCAGTTATTTTTATCCAGTACTTTCCTTGGTTATTCACATTTTGTCGAGGACCGCCTGCCCGGTACTGATGATGCCCAACATACTGTAACAGCTGTCTACTGTCTATCAACTCAATAACTTTCAAAGCCCTAATTTGTAATCTCTGTAAAATTTTCATCTGATTTTTATTTAGTGAGAATAACATTGTTGAAAAATATTGAAAATGAGGCTCTATGGTAGATCTGAATATCTTGAATTTTAATTAAATAAATATTTTGAAATAAAGTCTCTAAACATTCATCTCACCCAATTACACTGTAGGTTCTGGTAAATACCTGCCAGAAAACTACTACTTCCTTGGCTGCGGTAACATTGGTTCAATATTTATTTATTTATTCATTCAGCCACTTTACAGAGTATTATTCTATTTGTGGTAGGTCCAGGACATGGCAATATAAAGTAAAATAAACATTCAAAACAAAACTACAATTAAAAATATATTCCCTCATTTCTAATTATTCAGAATTAAATTGGGTGAAGAGTATTGTTGAAAAAAATATCAAACCGCAGTTATCTTCAGCGACTCAAAAAGTGCCCTGGCAAAACTTTTTTGCGGAATTCGTTCCGATTAACAGTGTCAAGTACATAACAACATCTGCAAACATTTCTTGGGTCGAAATATCAAGGAAATACATGAAATTTCATCAAAACTTTGCTTGGGTTGAAACTTCAACTAATAATTCACCAGAACTTAGACACTTTTCTTTCGATTTAATACTGAAAATTCGTCAATAACACTTGAAACGTAATAAATTCATTAACTCCTAAAGTTATCCTAAAAGCACAGTATGAAAAATGAATGTGGAATTTAATATAATAATACACCCTGGTGGTCTGTGATTACAGTTTACTGGGAAGGCTGCTTGCGCCATCTGAAATGCCGCTGATCTCTTCTAATCAAGTATCCGGAAATGCCTCTTTTTGTCCCAAACTTTTGCAGGTATGAGTAAGCACCATGGTTTTTAGACATCTTGATACTGTCACAGATACTGTCACACACACCCGTATCACAGAACCACAGAACATCTAATAGAAGTTCTGTGCCTGTATGTAGTTAGTAGTTATGTTATTTCATCGCAAAGAGTAATTTTCTATTAGGTTACTGTATTTAATTTAATTCGTTAGTGAGGAAAGTGTCCCAAAAATTGATTGACAAAACAATACAATCATTGAAAAAAACTTACTTTGTCCACATTTCACTTGAAAATGGCTACTGATGAATATGGAAGCCTAATTAAACAGGAGGTGGAATCTGATCTCGAAGAACACATTTCCAAAGAAAAATGTGATGCACTGGAAATTGTTATTTCAAAGATGAAATTTGAGTCCGAAAATATCAAAAGTGAAGATATCAATGATGTTGTTTATTATGATCTAAAATCTGAAAAGTGTGAGGAAGAAGGAAAAGGGGGATTACATTGTGAGGTGTGTGGAGGTTTGCTTCTTACAACTGATTTCTTCAGCCCTGATAGTTTGGAATCCATTTGTAACTGTAATTGCCAGAATGAGTCCAATGATGTGCAAGATGAAGATATGACTTGGGACTCCAAACCATATAACATTGGCGCAGGTAACATTAATTTCAGTCAAAATTTGAGAAGAAAAATAAATTAAGATGGATCTCAAATAAGTTATATTTCCAAATGAAAATGTTCTGCAGTTCTATATATCAAGATATCTCTGTACTTCAAACTTTATTTGTAGCCATTAAGACAAAGATAGTCAAAATGGAAGTAGTAAAAAAGTGTATCTGCAAAAATTGAGATGGTACATTAATAGTATATTATTTAAGAGCAAGAAATGTGGTCATTACTCGCGAGAATATTGCCAAGCATGTTTGTAATATAGAAGTAATGGGATTTTTTTTTCTAGTTTGTATCTGAACGAAACTTCTGTGTATGGTCAACATATCTTTTTCAAGAATTTTTAATTCTATTTATTTTAGTTCTTCCTTTGGAAGTTTTCTTACATTTTTGTTTAGTGATGTAAAAGTGGAAAATCCAAAACGCTTCTTTCCCAAAAATCTAATCTCTTATTTGAAAATATTTCCTTTTGACTTGTGTAGTAATGAACATTACTACATTTCCTTTTCAGTTCAAACGATATACAGTTAACAATGAAGTTAACTGAACAATAAGATCTGGGTTTAATTCTTGACCCAGAAGTTGCTGGATTCCATCCAGAAAAGAGCCATCCACCTGATTGGAGACACGAACATCACGTGTGATCTTGATAGCCTGGAACATCGAAGAAGGGTTGGAGATTTGTCTCTCTTCTATAGATACTTTCATCGGCAAAGTTTACTGCCACAACAATAATAAATTTGTATTGATCTGTTTAAAAAACACCGTTTTTCCGTTAACCAGCTGTCGCACTTCTGCGAACGACAACAGGTCGAAACTTGTGCGAGCTAAGGATTAACGAGGTCTTACCTTTTAACGTATGATTCCTAACACGATGATTGTTGATTTTTTGTACAAGAATCTAGATAAAGCCTTATGGATATAACTTCATTAGATAAGGAAAGTGAGTAGAGCTCTTTTTTTGTGTGTGATCGATACTGGTGTATGTCATTGTTGATATTGAACTCCAAGGCATGTCAATTCAAATGTCTCAAAAATTCACATGGTATGGATGTGATTGTTGCACGTTTTGTTTTTAACATAATAAGCACATGTTTCATGACCTATTATGAATGAAACCTCATAATTATTGAATGAAATATGTAACTCTTCTCTCTTCATAAAACTAGTATTTTTTTACAGATTCTACAAACTTTCATTTTAAAATTAAGGAAGAAACATTAGTTGGGAAGGAAGAGGAGGTAGACAATGAAAATGCGCCATCAACATCATGCGAAAACAAAATTTCTGTTGAAAGATTTCATGTTGTTAATCATGAAACGCCAATCAAAACTGAGGAGGTTGATGAAATATTCAGATCTGAGTACGATTTGAATTCAGTCGGGCAGAGGATTCAAGATGAAAACGAAATGGGCCCAAAACATTTGAATGAAAGGACTTATATTTTTAAAAGATCTATAAAGAAAATATTTAATTGTAAAGTTTGCAAAAAATTATTCTCTCTAAGTTGTGATTTGAAAAGGCATGAAGTAACTCATACTGGAGAAAAACCCTTTCAGTGTAAAATATGCTTTAAGTGTTTCACTCGCAAAGATAGTTTGACAAAGCATGGAAGAATTCATACTGGTGAAAAATCATTTAAATGTAAATTTTGCTCAAAGTCGTTCATTCAAAGAAGTAACTGGAAGTCGCATGAAAAAATTCATACTGGTGAGAAACCATTTCAGTGTAAAATCTGCTCTAAATCATATATTCGAAAGAGTCTCTTGAAATCGCATGAAAAAATTCATACTGGTGAAAAACCATTTCAGTGTAGAACATGCTCCAAATCTTTCACTAAACAAATTTATTTGATTCGCCATGAAAAAATTCACACTGCTGAAAAAGCATTCCACTGTAAAACCTGCTCCAAGTGTTTTACTCGCAGTGAAAGTTTGAAACTGCATGAAAAAATTCATACTGGCGAAAAACCATTCCAGTGTAAAATCTGTTCTAAATCATTTCTTCAAAAAGTTTATTTGAAAATGCATGAAAAAATTCATAGTGGTGACAAACCATTTCAGTGTAAAATCTGTTCTAAATCGTTCTCACAAAGAAGTAATTTGAAAGTACATGAAATGATTCATACTTATCAAAAACCATTTCAGTGTAAAAGCTGCTTGAAGTCATTCGCTAGCAAAGCTAGTTTGAAAGTGCATGAAAAAATTCATACTGGCAAAAAACCATTTCAGTGTGACATCTGCTCTAAATCTTTTATTCAGAAAATTCATTTGAAATTGCATGAAAATAATCATACTGGCGAAAAATAATTTCAGTGCAAAACCTGCTCCAAAGCTTTCATTCAAGGCAGTGATTTCAAAATGAATGAAAAAATTCATACTGCAGAAAAAACATTTCAGTGTAAAATGTACCCTCAAATCATTTATTCAAGGAGGTGATTTGAAACGACATGAAAAAATTCATATTGGCAAAAAACCATTTCATCATAAATGAATAATTATCGTGAGTGTGAAAGTAAAATGGGTATTATTTAAAAATATCAACTCCTAAGTACTGTTAAGTCTCTGGGTATTTCAATAAGGTTATTAAAAATACAACATAAATCACGGTGAAACCACCAATAGTTTGCTTACTAAAAATCTGGTTCAGGATATCTCAAGGAAAACTCACCTTTTTGTTATATGGTGATATATTATTTATATTGATGGGTCAAAATGATTATAAAATCACATGAAATGAACAAAATTCTGGAGTTCAATGTGTAATAATAATAATAATGAGTTTATTCAGCTATAAAGCTACTAAACGAAATTATCAAATAACACAATTCAAACACATTATATTGGGATGAAAACATGAATTATAGAATCTTATTATTTTCAAGTAATCGCTGTATAAACCGATGGCATTCCAGGATAGCTTCCCAAATTTCTGCTACCTCAAGTGTCGTTTGATTGGAAAAACTACCAACACTGACATAAAAATTTGGCAAATTGACTTGGGTGTCACACCAACAGGTGGTTTCACTTATGTTTTGCTTGCGTTTACACAGTACTTTGCTTTGTTATTCACATTTTGTCTTTAATCGAGGACTGCCTGTCCGGTACTGACGATGCCCAACATGCTGAAACTGCTGTCTACCAGTGGCTCTCAAATTGAAATTAATATGGGAATGATTATAATAGTACTTTCTATTTATCTTTTGATTTTCATGGAAATATTTTCCAGCAGGTTGACTGCGTTAACCTTTCTCAATTCCATATATGTATATAAAGGAACAAACAAGAAGATAAAATGTTCAGTTTGAGTGGAGCCATGAAGATGATAACAGTCTGGTATCGAAAGTGCTCGCATGTAATTAGTGGAAGTCATTAAAGCTTCAAATCCTGTTTGTCTTTTAACATAAAACTCAAAGCTTATCCACAGATACAACCTCACGCATAACGCATATGTAATGTAATCTCTGACTTCACGGCAAAGAGTACTTTTTTTCTTAGGTCATCATGTAATTTTATTCGTTAAGAGTGAGGAAAGTGACCCAAAACTGATTACCGACAAAGATAAATTGCAATTACTAATACAATCATTGAATAATCTACAGTGATGTTTTTCGGGAACGAAAAATTGTGCCAATACAAAAATGAAAATTGTACTAAATTACGTTTAATTGTACTGCACTATGTACTATCATGGAACATCATAATAATATAAGTGTTCTGTGAATTTATGATCATATTATGAATATATGAATCATAATACAGGGGTGGGTGGAATTTTCATAAACATTGGTGCAGGTAACATTTATTTTGGTCAAAATTTGAGAAGAAAGAGTATAAAAAAATTAAATGAGGTGGAGATGAAGTGAAAGTAGTGAAAAAGTGTATCCACAAAAATTGAGATTGTACATTGATAGTATACTATTCAACGAGCAAGAAATGTGGTCATTAGTCGTGAGAAACTGACAAACTGAATGGGGTTTTTTCTTCTATAGTTTGTATCTGAACAAAACTTCTGTGAAGTGGTCTGCAAATCTTTTTCAAGAATTTTTATGTTCTTACTTTCTTTGAAAGTTATCTCGTACATGATGTAAAAGTAGAGAAGCCAAAAAGCTCCATTCCCAAAAATCTAATCCTCCCTAGAAATATTTCCTTTTCAGTTTAAATGATAAACAATGATATATTACTTCTTGAATCATCAATATTGAGTAAACAATACAGACATCTGAACCAAAAATTGTTTCAATCAACATTAAGATCTGGGCTTAGTTTTTGACTCTGATTTATTTTGATTCTTCGTTTAGAGTATTAGCTTTATTTATCGCATTTTACCAACATACTGAGGGAGGATGAACTTGCACTGAAGAAAAGTTTGCTGGTACAACAATAACAAATTTGAATAGATGATTGTTGATTTTTTTTGTACAAGAATCTTTATAAAACCCAATGTATACAACTTTATGAGAGAAAGAAAATGAGAAAAGCTTATTTTTTTATGTTATCGATACTGGTGAAAGTCATTGTTGATATTGAAATCCAATGCATTTCAATTCAAAAGTCTCAAAAATTCACATGGTATGGATGTGATTGTTGCAAGATTTGTTTTTAATATAATAAGCACATTTTTTATGATCCATCATGAATGAAACCTCATAATTATGTGATGAAATAAGTACATCTTTTCTCTTCATAAAACTAGATTTTTTTTTACAGATTCTGGAAACTTCCATTTTAAAATTCCTGAAGAAACATTGGTTGTGAAAGAAGAGGTAGCAAATAATGAAAATGTTCCATCAACGTCTCATAAAAAAGAAGATTTTATTGAAAATGTTCATGTTGTTAATCACGAAACGCTAATAAAAACTGAGGAGGTCGATGAAACATTTAGATCCGGGTACGATTTGAATTCAGTTGGGCAGAGGATTGAAGAAGAAAACAAAATGGACTCAAAAAATTTGAATGAAAGAACCGATATCCGAAACAGACCTGTAAAGAAAATATTTAATTGTAAAGTGTGCGCAAAATCATTCGCTCAAAGTTGTGATTCAAAAAGACATGAAAAAACTCATACTGGGGAAAAACCCTTTCAGTGTAAAATGTGCTCCAAGTTTTTCACTCGCAAAGATAGTTTGACAATCCATGAAAAAATTCATACTGGTGAAAAATCATTTCAGTGTAAAATTTGCTGCAAGTTTTTTACTCGCAGCGGTAGTTTGAAATTGCATGAAAAAACTCATACTGGGGAAAAACCATTTCGATGTGAAATTTGCTCTAAATCATTCAGTAATTACAGTAATTTGAAAAAACATGAAAAAATTCATACTGGCGAAAAACCATTTCAGTGCAAAATTTGCCACCAATCATTCTCCCAAGGAGGTGATTTCAAAAGGCATGAAAAAAGTCATACTGGTGAAAGACCGTTTCAGTGTGAAATTTGCTCTAAATCTTTTACTCAGAAACGTTATTTGAAAAAACATGAAAAAACTCATACTGGCTTAAAGACATGTAATAAGTGAATTTAGGTAGGATTATAATAACGCAGATTTCAAAATCAATCTTAGGAGAGTGAAATCCTTGACCCAAAAATTTTGAATTCTTTCATGATTTACCCAACTGGTTTTACTAACTCTAATATTGTCACACTAAAAAGTTTTATTAATCATCTAAAATAGTTTTTATTGAGAGATTTTCACTATGGAAGGTTCACATAGCATCCCCAAGCAGGAGTGATGTCCCTGAAGCTATATATTGTATTTCACAAGTGGAGGGACACCTCCCTAAAATTTGCATCTAACTTTATTTTGAATTGAAGAGCTCAAAAAACTGTACTTTGGGACCAAATATAATTTTCTTTCTACAAAAACCAACGTCTGCTGTGAATATTTTTATAAGTTAAAACACAAGAAATCTTATAAGCGATTTTTTAGTAAAAACCAAATTTCACCAAAAAATATTCAATATTAATCATTCTGTGGTCGAATCAACATTCACATTGTATCATGATAGAATATTAGATTAGATTGTTGGGGAGCTAGCCCATGGCCTGATTAACTGCAACCTTTTCAGATCTATTGTGATGCTCCTTGGTTGTTAGAGCTCATCGTCTAGCTTGATACCTTTGATGAGACTCCATAGCCTTGACACTGACCCCTTCATAAAGCTGGCAGTCTTTGGTTTCTCTTCCTCGCATCTTGCGTGTCTCAGCCTTGCTATCGCTTCGCATTCACAGATCACATAGCTGTCGGAGAATATACCAATCCCCACTCCTTGGGCCAACTGTATACAAAGTTTCTTCCACTTTTACCGGTGAGCCGTTTTGCCAGTCCTCTACTTGGAATGGTGATTTTGAAATCTTTTGAAAGATGTACTGCGGACTTGTGTTATCCACGGGTATTCCTAGTATTGGATCTGCCTTCAGTTCATTGTACAGTTTCAAGTATTCTGCACCGTGTGACTGGCTGATTGGGGTTTGTCTTTGTATGTAGATGTGCAATGGTGGAAGTCCGAGTAGCACCTCAAGTGCTGCAGTTGGGGTCGTTCACATGGCTCCCGCGACACTTAGGCACTTAGAATGTTAACTACAAAAGCTTGAATGGTTTTTGAATCTTGGTGAGTTGGTCGTGACATACCGCGCAGATATGCAAAATCGCGCTCTTTTCATTTGGCACTGGAAAGAAAAGACTTATTGATTATTATTGCTGTTATCAAACAATGTACTGAAACAGTGACAAAAATTAGTGATTTATTATGGGAGAACTAAGTGTGCGAGATAAAATTGAACTTGTGCGCCTTGTCGGAGATAAAGCTCTTTCGGCAGGATAAGCTGTCAGAGAATTTCATAACAGACATCCTGATAAACTTTCAGTGAGCAGCAGTATGGTGAATCGTATAAATTCTGTTTCAAACCAAACAGGTTGTGTATCAAAAGCGGATACAATCCACATCGTGAGAATATAAATGGCGTGCAAATATTGCAATATTTTCGTAATATTCGTCATTCCAGCTTGCGAACGGCTAGTTTGAACTTAAATATTCCTAGAGAAATTATCAGGAGAGGCCTTGTAAAAAATTAAATTGAACCATTCAAGCCAAAAATTTTACGCACTCTGGAACCGTGAGATAAAAGAAGATTAGAATTCTGTTTGTGGGCGCAAGGAGAATATTTGAATGATATAAACTTCTTCAAAACAATTTTGTTTAGTGATTAAGTTACGTTCACTATAAATGGAGTAGTCTCGTCCCAATCCTAACTGGGCTATGTACGCAAAAGGGCAATATTCCTATAAAAAAAAATTGTGTTGTGGAATAATCCATGATAAGATTATCGGTCCGTTTTCATTCGAAAGTAATCTGAATGTAATTGTATTTTTAGACTTTTTGAGAATTGAGTTTTGGGATGCAATACATAATTTTCCAGTGCAGGATCGCCTGAATTTGAAATTTCAATTAGATGGATCTTTGGTACATGATGCAGTTATTGTAAGAGGATGTCTGAATAATGATTATGGCAATCGATGGATGGGTCCTTACATTGGGTGGCCGCCAAGATCACCGGAACTGACGCCGCTAGATTTTTTCTTTGGGGTACTATAAAGCAAAAAGTTTACAAATCCAGACTGCAGTCAGTAGAAGAACTACGGATCAGAATATCTTCATTTTGGGTAGAAATTACAACAGAAAAGTTACATTGAATATTAGAAAATGGTATGAAATTTTGAAGGTTAGATGGTATGCAGTGTATTGCTTTGAATGGCGGATGAGTTGTAACAACAGAAATGTGTCTACAATAATTTGTTGTATGTTGTTTTTCAATTGTTTAATTTGTCCAATCATTAATTGATCACAATGAATATGTTCATTCGGTTATTAAATTCGTTTATTAACATCGATTAATCGATGTTTATTTTACTTTCAGTCCATCAGATACTTGAATTAATTCATAATGAAAATTTCTTTGATTCCTTCACATAATTATAAATATTGAATATTTTTTCATGAAATTTGGTATGCCACCATTTGAGAGGGTGCCCAGCTCAATGGTTATTTTAAATTTTTCCTAAAAAATCGCTACTACGATTTCTTGAATGTTAACCTATGAAAATATTCGCAGCAAGTCTTGGTTTTTGTAGAAAGAAAATGATATTTGATCCCAAAGTACAGTTTTTTGAACTCTAAAATTCAAAAGAAAGTTCTTCGTAGTTGCTATCAAGTGAGTCACACGGTGTGTAAAAGATATCAATAAGAATTTTGTATGTAGCATAGATATTTCGAATTGGCTACTCTACATGTATTTGTAATTAGTGTCAGTTGTCATATACAGTTGATGTTTATATTGTTAATTTTAGAGTTCTGTTTGCTGTTTTCTTTGTGTTCATTTTTCTTTCAGTGTCCAACATATAAAGTTAACGGCGTGAACGTGAACAATCAATATGACAATTGACATTAATGACACAAAAGTATCGTGCGTAGTTGTGTTGTGATCTGTGACAAACGTCAAACACTTTTGTATCAATGTCATGAATGTCAAAATATTATCTATATCAATTATTTCAATTTTGAAACCCATATATTAAGTACAAACCCACATACCTATATGTAGGTAATTTGTTATTTCCTCGCAGAGTACTTTTCTCTTAGGTTTACTGTATTTAATTTAATTCGTTGGAGTGAGGAAAGTGGTCAAAAAACTAATACAATCATTGAAACACCTACTTTGTCCACATTCCACTTGAAAATGGCTACTGGTGAATATGGAAACCTTATCAAAGAGGAGGTGAAATCTGCTCTCGAAGAACACATTTCCAAAGAAAAATGTGATGCACCGGAAATTATTTCAAAGATGAAATTTGAGTTAGAAAATATCAAAAGTGAAGATGTCGTTGACGTTGTTTATGATATGAAATCTGAAAAGTGTGTGGAAGAAGGAAAAAGGGGATTACAATGCGAGGTGTGTGGAGGTTTGCTTTGTACAACTGATTTCTTCAGTCCTGATAGTTTGGAATCCATTTGTAACTGTCAGAATGAGTCTAATGATAGGCAAGATGAAGATATGACTTGGGACTTCAAACCATTTAACATTGGCGCAGGTAACATTAATTTTAGTCAAAATTTGAGAAGAAAAATAAATTATGATGGATCTCATATAACATATATTTCCAACTGAAAATGTTCTGCAGTTGTATATATCAAGATATCTTTGTATTTCAAACTTAATTTGTAGTCTTGAAGAAGACAGATTTTCGAAAGCTGGGAAGAGTAAAAAAAGAGTAAATGAGGTGGAACTGAAGTGGGAGTAGTAAAAGAAAGTGTATCCACAAAAATTGAGATGGTGCATTAATAGTATACTATTCAACCATCTAGAAATGTGGTCATTATTTGCGAGAATGTCACCATGCATATTTGTAATACAAACTGAAAAGGGTCTTTTTTACTAGTTTGTATTTAAATGAAACTTCTGTGTATGGTCTACTTGAAACTTGTTGTACCAGTGTCATTTACGATATACGCTGATACTGAGGGAGGATGAACTTGCACTGAAACGAAGTTTGCTACGACAATAATAACAAATTTTAATAGATGATTGTTAATTTTATGTACACGAATCTAGATAAAGCCCTATGTATACAAGTTCATTAGAGAAGGAAAATGAGTAAAGCTTATTTTTCTTATGTGATCGACACTGGTGAAAGTCATCATTGATATTGAAATCTAAGCTTTATCAATTCAAAATGTTTTATGACCCATCATGAATGAAACCTCATAATTATGTAATGAAATAAGTAACTCTTCTTTCTTCATAAAACTAGTATTTTTTTACAGATTCTAGAAACTTTCATTTTGAAATTAAGGAAGAAACACTAGTTGGGAAGGAAGAGGAGGTAGACAATGAAAATGTGCCATCAACGTCATATGAAAACGAAATTTCTGTTGAAAGTTTTCATGTTGTTAATCACAAAACGCTAATTAAAACTGAGGAGGTTGATGAAACATTTAGATCTGGGTACGATTTGAAATCAGTTGGGCAGAGGATTCAAGAAGATAACAAAATGGGCTCAAAAAATCTGAATGAACAAACTGGTATTGGAAACAGACCTATAAAGAAAATATTTAGTTGTAAACTGTGCACAAAATCATTCGCTCAAAGTTGTGATTTGAAAAGACACGAAAAGACTCATACTGGTGAAAAACCCTTTCAGTGTAAAATGTGCTCTAAGTTTTTCACTCGCAAAGATAGTTTGACAATGCATGAAAAAATTCATACTGGTGATAAACCATTTCAGTGTAAAATTTGCTCTAAATTTTTTACTCGCTGTGGTAGTTTGAAATTACATAAAAAAAAATTCATACAGGTGAAAAACCATTTCAGTGTAAAATCTGTTCTAAATCATTCCTACAAGGTGGTAATTTGAAAATGCATGAAATGATTCATACTTGCCAAAAACCATTTCAGTGTAAAAGCTGCTCCAAGTCCTTCACTAGCAAAGTTAAATTGAAATTGCATGAAAGAATTCATACTGGTGAAAAACCATATCAGTGTAAAATCTGCTCCAAGTCTTTCATTCAGAAAATTCATTTGAAAGTACATGAAAAAATTCATACTGGAGAAAAACCATTTCAATGTAAAATCTGCCCCAAATCATTCATACAAGGAAAGTAGTAAAAAAATGTATCCACAAAAATTGAGATGGTACATTGATAGTATACTATTCAACGAGAGAGAAATATGGTCAATACTCGTGAGAATGTTCTTCTAGTTTGTATCTGTACAAAACTTCTGTGAAGTGGACTACAAATCTTTTTCAAGAACTTTTATTTTAGTTCTTACTTTCTTCAAAAGTTATCTCACATTTTTGTTTAGTGATGTAAAAGTAGAAAAGCCAAAAAGCTTCATTCCCAAAAATCTAATCCTCCTTAGAAATATTTCCTTTTCAGTTCAAATGAAGAATCATCAATATACAGTAAACAATGAAGTCAACTGAACAATAATTGTCTCAATCAGGTCAACATTAAGATCTGGGTTTAGTTCTCGACTCTGTTTTATAGAGTATCAGCATCATTTATTGTTTAATACCAGCATACCTACTGATACTGAAGGAGGATGAACTTGCACTGAAGCAAAATTTACTGTGACAACAATAACAAATTTGAATGATGATTGTTAATTTTTTGAACAAGAATCTAGATAAAGCCCAATGAGATGAAGAAAGTGAGAAAAGCTTATTTTTGTATATGATCGATACTGGTGAAAGTTGAAAGTCATTGTTGATATTGAAATCTAAGGCATTTCAATTCAAAAGTCTCGAAAATTCACATGGTATGGATGCGATTGTTACACATTTTGTTTTTAACATATTAGGCACATGTTTTATGACCAATCATGAATGAAACCACATAATTATGTAATGAAATGGAACAAACAGATTGATTATACAGCTAACAAATTGAGCAAAATTTCGTATGGACTAAGAGGGGTTCACAAATATCTCAACAAAGAATCGGTAAAATTTTTATATTTTTCCAATTTTGAGTCTGTAGCTAGATATGGAATCATATTTTGGGAAAACAATAGTAATATAAATAAAATATTTGTAATTCAGAAAAAAGCAATCAGAATGATGAGTAATTTGAAGTATAATCAATCATTTAGAAATGTCTTCAAGAATAACGGGATAATGAAATTATGTTTATGAATGCTTAATGTTTGTATTGAAAAATAGGCATCTGTTCTTTAACATTAATCAACATTCCTATGGAACAAGAAGAAATGATTTCGTGCTCCCTATACATAGGTTAACCATAACAGAAAAAACTCCTCATTACATGTCAATGAAGCTGTACAATAAATTGCCTAATGGAATCAAAGATTTGAGGAGCATAAAGAAATCTAAGAAAGAAATAAAAAAATATTTAATAGATTTAGAACCATATAGTGTTAGTGACCATTTGAACCAAATCGAATTATAGAAATGTATATATTTATGAGTATATGTAGTCTTTTTCTTTTTTTTTTGTTGACATCATTTCATTCTATGTTGTGTGTGTACAAGCTGTAATACTCGGCATATTTTTGAAATAAAGATTATCATTATTATCATTAATGAAACTAGATTTTTTTTACAGATTCTAAGAACTTTCATTTTGAAATTCAGGAAGAAACACTAGTTGGGAAGAAAAAGGAGGAAGAAACTGAAAATGTGCCATCAACGTCATGTGAAAACAAAATTTCTATTGAGAGATTTCATGTTGTTAAACACGAAACACTACAAAAAACTGAGGACGATGAAACATTTAGATCAGGGTACGATTTGAGTTCAGTCGAGCAGAGGTTTCAAGAAGAAAACGAAATGTGCTCAAAAAATTTGAATGAAAGTACCAGTATTGGAAACAGACCTATAAAGAAAATCTTCAACTGTAAAGTCTGCACAAGATCATTTTCTCAAAGTTGTGATTTGAGAAGACATGAAAGAATTCATACTGGTGAAAAACCCTTTCAGTGTAAACTGTGCTCTAAGTTTTTCACCCGCAAAGATAGTTTGACAGCACATGAAAAGATTCATACTGGTGAAACACCATTTCAGTGTAAAATTTGCTTAAAGTCATTCATTCAGAGATGTAACTTGAAGTCCCATGAAAAAATTCATACTGGCGAGAAACCCTTTCAGTGTAAAATGTGCTTCAAGTTTTTCACTCGCAAAAATACTTTGACATCGCATGAAAAGATTCATACTCGTAAAAAATCATTTCAGTGTAAAATTTGCTCAAAGTCATTCATTCAAAGAAGTAACTGGAAGTCCCACGAAAAAATTCATACTGACGAGAAACCATTTCAGTGTAAAACCTGCTCTAACTCATATATTCCACCAAGTCACTTGAAATTGCATGAAAAAATTCATACCGGCGAAAAGCCATTTCAATGTGAAATGTGCTCCAAATCTTTTATTTGAAAAATTAATTTGATTAGCCATGAAAACAGTCACACTGTTGAAAACCTATCTTAAAAGTTGGGGAGTGATCTTTATATTTGAGGATTTATTCAGAAGAGGACAAAGTATTGGATGATCGCGGTTTTCAAGTCTCCATTGTACTGCCCATGGCTCTGTATCATCAATTAGGTTGGGTGTTCCACAAGGTTCAGTTAGGAGGTCCGAAATGATCAAACTGAGATTGGGATTGGTCATAGAATCAGCATAGCTCAGAATGCATTTCAAGAGGCGTAATCATGATTCTTCAAAAATCATTGAACCTATTTTAAATCAAATGCAACGAAATACTATCTACGAATAAAAATTTTCAAATAAATATTTGTGATAATGTGTCTGATTTCTTTTATTCCAAAACCCAAGTCCAAAGTTGAGGATCTACGAAATTTCTCTAGATCTAGGTAAATTTTGACGTCACTACATGTAAAACAATAACAAATTCCTGAACGGGTGGTGGACCACAACCTAAATCAAGGGCATATCCCTTCCTAGTTCGACGATCAAATCGAGGACCAAATCAATGACTCACACTCCGTCACAAAGCGCCCGCAATCACTGTTGACTTTAATTTTTCTGCCACCCCCTCATTACCCTCCACGTGATTGAACGCAAGGGTTTCTTGGCTTCATCACGACCATCCACATTGTCACCAACCCTCAAGTTGACTTCAGGTGACATAGAATCAGTAGCTACATTACTACATTGAATGTCTGAAAGAGACCGATGGGCTGCAAAGAGGATCCGTACCATTTTTGTTAAAATTACAAAGCAATCGAGACAATGGACTGTGATAACCACAAGGCCGCTTTCACACGTATCTCGCTCCCGAGAGAGAGGAATGCTCTTATCGCCAAAATGCAACAAGTCCAATGGAGCTTCCAAACGAAGAGCGGGAGCCGTCACGTCTCGGGAGACGAGAGCTCTCACATCTCCTGCAGCTTAAGCCTGGGAGCCACGTCTCCTCCTCAAAATGTAAAAGGATGAGTGGGGGCTTCCACAAAACGAGTGAAAACGGCTATCCCTCTCTTCCCTGGTTGCAGCCAGTCGGAAGGGGTGCAGTTCTTCATGTTAGTATCTAAGTTCTGGGTGAATCAAAAACTGCTTCATCGAGTTTTTGGTTGATTGAGTGCATCCAAAACATTCTTGATCGTTAGCGTTTGTGTCGACGGTAGAGAAGGGCAATCGCTCGCGTGCGATCCATTCTACGACTGACCTCAAGGAGTCAGGAAATGAAAAGGTTTCTGGTGTGAATGGGTGGTAGGTAGGAGTGATAAAAGCTCCCGTACAGGAGTGAGAGCTGTGAAGCTCCCCCTATGAAAGAGTCCTAATTGATGTTACGAAATATTATACCTATTGAATGAAGCAGGACGCATTGTCGCATATTGAAGTTCGTTTTACATTAAGAAACTTGGAGAGCTCATATCCCGGTGAGATATAGTACGTTCAAAGTGTGGTTGTTTCGATAATTAATGTGCAAATGTGTTCCCAATTTGAAGGACACTGTACATTTAATTCGAACATTCTCTGTTAGGGATAAGTTACATTTATAAAATAATTGCACAGCAATAGTCCATCGTGCAATGGAGAACAGGGGAGGCTAAAGTCATAAAGACTATGTACATACAGAATAGCCCGCCGGAGNGGGACGTATGTCGCTGGTTGGATCGGTCTCGTGGAGCCTGTTTATTTTAAAGCGGTCGGAGTCTTGGCTCCCTTGCAACGTATGGCATTCATTATTTCAGGTTGATGGTTTATTCGTTCATGGGCGGTGCGTTTGAGTTTTGTTGATGCAGGATACAGTGCGGTACGTACTACGTAGTGAGTGATAGTGTTTTTTCGGGCATAATATGTATTTATATTAAAAATTAATGGTACAGTAATGATAACCAGCATTAAAAAAAATCATAATTATTTGTCAATATCTTTCAATTTATTGCGATGAATAGCCTCAAATTTTATGGGGAGGCTAAGTCTCCCCTGCCTCCTCTGACGAGCCGCCGCTGAATGAATTCATTGTATAATAATAATTGAGTTTTATTGTCCAACAGAAATACAAGACACTGTATATGTTTAAGGAGAAAAAAAATAAAGAATAACGGTTGGGAACACTTTAATTGTTGAACCAGTTAACTTAACAATAGGGTTATGAACTACCTCTAACATACAATATTATTCAAAGTCTTAACGATAATTTTTTCAAAGATCTTAAAGACATAGGCTTTTATTTTACGGCTGCAAGCTGGGTTGAATAGAACTACATTAGCACAATTGATGACTTCCAGTCATTAAGTAAAGTTTGTAATGCAATTTTACAAGAATACGTTTTTCTAAATCCAGCTTGAGAGTAATTATGAGTGTGAAAACCCGAGAATATGTTTTATAAAGTACGGATTGGTCGACATCACAAATCAGGGATTCGGTAAAAAGAATAACATTATTTTTCAAAGGAATGATTATGTTTATAATTAGGAATACATATTCAATTAATAAACGAAACTCTGAAAATTTCAAACTATATTGTTGAGTGAAATATTTAAAGCAAATTTTACACTGAAATGGTTTTTTATCAGTGTGAATGTCTTCATGTCTTTTTAAATTACTACTTTGAAAGTATGACTTGAAGCAGATTTTACACTGAAATGGTTTTTCGCTATTATGAGTTTTTTCATGTCTTATCATATTACTATAATCACTGAATGATATAGAGCAGATTTTACACTGAAATGGTTTTTCACCAGTGTGAATTACTTCATGTCTCTTCAAATCACTACTTTGAATGAATGACTTGGAGCAGATCTTACAGAGAAATAGGTTTTTCTCAGTATGCATTTTTTCATGGCGATTCAAATTGACACTTTGAATGAAAGATTTGGAGCATATTTTACACTGAAATGGTTTTTTCTCAGTATGAATTTCTTCATGTCTTTTTAAACTGCTTCTTTGAAGGTATGACTTGGAGCAGATTTTACACTGAAACGGTTTTTTGCCAGTATGAATGTTTTCACGTCTTTTCAATTCACAACTTTGAGTTGATGACGTGAATTCTTTTCCAGATGATGTTGATGGCATGGACTCATTGGTACCTTCCTCTTTCTTTCTAAAGACAGTGTCTTCCTGGGTTTTAAACAGAAACTTTTCAGAATCTGTAAAAAAAACTAGTCTATGAAAAAAGAAAAGTAACACATTTCACATCATGAAGTAGCTATATATGTGATAAGTCTTGAAAGATGTTCGTACTTTAACGACATTTTTGGGAGCGAATTAATAAGAGACAAGTAAGAAAAAACTGCCAAAAATTCTTATATTTCTGATCTTTCAAATCATACTTTTACTAAAATAAATGTTACCTGAGCCAAAGCTTGGTTTCAAATCCCTTGTATTTTCACTTTGCATGGCATTATACTCATTCTGGCCTTGGCAGTTACAACAAAGGGTTTTCAAACTATTGGAGCTGAAGAAATTAGTTACACTAGATAAACCTCCTCCACACACCTCACAATGAAAATCTTCCTTCACTTCGTCCAGATAATTTTCAAATTTTAGATCATGATAAACAAGATTGTTGACATCTTCAATTTTGATGTGTTCTGGCTCAAATTCCTTCTTTGGGATAACAATTTCAAGTGCATCAAATGTTTCTTCAGAGTTGTTGGTAATGTTATCATCGCCAGCAGATTCTACCTCCTCTTTAACTAGCTTTCCATTTTCACCAGTAGCCATATCAAGTTGCAAGAGCTAGATTTGTTTCAAAAGATTATGGTCATGTACCTTTCACAGCAATGAGTTTTTGGGTTTCTTTTCTCAAAATATGAAGACGAGATACAGTTAAATGTTTTTAAAGTAACAAAGAGAGAATAATCTGAAGTTTCTCTGGATGTGCGAGTTCAACCGATTTGGAAATAAGGGCCTTGCCACAAAAGAGCCCCTTGTTGAAGTGTAACGTTGAGTTTGAGTACATGAGTGACGTAAATGTCAAAACGTGAATCTTCGTCTTTATTAGTTGTTTGCTTAGGTTGTTTGAGTCAATGTTTTCTTTTCAAAAGTCACACCACATTATGACGTAATTGGACATAAATTCATCTGAATTGTGTAGTTCACTCAATGAAATCATAGAAAATATAATTAAATACATTTTTCGTGAACGTTGATTACAATTTCATATCAGTAAGCTGGTTAAATTATTCCAACATTGAAGATATTTATCTTTTCGTGACTCCGAATGTTCAAAGTTTCAGATTATATTGATAAATGGCACTAAAAAATGTTGCCAACATCATCTGGGAGTAAAACTATACAGGTTTGAAAAAAATACTGTTGAAATCTCTAAATATTCATTGAAAAACAGTAGTTTCAAATATTTTTTATTTTGTATCATAGAATGGTTATGAATAGGACATACATGAGGAAGGAATTATAAACAGAAATCATGTAATGATCACCTTGGCGTCGGTGTTTGAGAATGGTTACACCTCAGTTTTTGTCCTAACATTTCTACTCCATTATTGTAACAGTTGTGCGAAAGCGTAAAAGAGCCACAAAAATTGTTATTTTTGATATACCTGACTTCAAACTGGGACTTCTCTTCCCGACATTAAAATCGGAAATATCAACTTCAAATCAATGAATAAATTGAATTGAATTAAATTGAGTTTTGTAATCAAACTACAGTGCTTCAAACATGAAGTGATGTTGAATTGTGAATGAGGTGGTTAGGTTGAGAGGTAAGGTTGATGGAAGGGACGCTTCAATGTTCACTTCAAAGTTGGAATTTTCAAATTACATAATAGAAAGTGAGTTCATGAGAGCCATGTTCTAAAACTGTCACAAGATAATCTCATCTACTCTATCCAATAACATCATCTATCAAATCGATTGAAGGGCATCAATTCGAATGCAGCTCAATCCTGTACTCAAAATTTAGGTACTTCAAATTTTGGAAACATATATAAAGCATTTAATATGTATCAGAACACGTGTTGTGTTTTTGCAAAACTGTTTAGTGAAACAGTTTTGCAAATGAGTTGAATGATTTATGGATTTTCATCAAATATTAACCGATTCACGTGACATATTATATCAAAAATATTAGAACAACAAAATCAAAAGATAAATTAAACAATGTTTTATCAGCTGCCCTTCACTATCGTTACAAATGATACAGACGATGATATTGAAATATTTGAGAAATATTTATGTGTACGGATAAGATGTCTACAGTTTGAGGTCACCATTTGTTGAACAAACTAGCGCCTTTATCGATGAGAATTTTTTCTGCATACTAATAGTACTCTACTCTACTTCTACTTCCCACTGGTTTTAATTGCAAATGATGGAATATGATGGAATGAAATACTGACAAAAATGATTATTTGTATAATACATATCTACTATAAAATATTGGCTGAATGCTATCGGAAAGATAAGGCAATTATAAAAATTGAGAAGATGAAATTTTATGGTTAGAGTTCACAACACATAAATATTTACAAAAATAAACTTTGTTGATTAGAAGTGAATTTGTTGTAGAGAAAATGGACCAACAACCTAACGTATATAGAAAAATGCTTTCAACATCAGTCGCAAGTATTCTCTTAGAACACGGATGCGATTCGGCCGACAAAGCTGCCTTGGAAACTTTAACCGAAATGTTACAAGCTTGTATGTAGGATTATATATCACTTCAACAATTGGTTTCATTTCCTTAACTTTCAGTCCTGGCAGAGATCGGAGCCATGAGCAAAAGCTACTGCGAATTGGCAGGTAGAGTGGAACCCATACTTGCAGACGTTATCCTGGGTTTTGTTGAAATGGGTATGCACGCATGATTATTCATTTCATAATTGAATAAGAAATATAAAATACAAAAACTAGTATCACTCAAAACTTCAAAACAGAGTGAAAAAGGAGAAATGAAACTTTATATGTTTTTTACAACATAGAAAGTTTCCTTTCTCATATTTCATAACGATCTTCTACCACATAGTAATGGCTACATACATCAATTTATTCAAAACAGATGTTTGCAAATTCTTTTGACAGTAAAAGACAGTCTATAATAATTTATTTAAAACGGGATGGTTTTACAGGTTTCAACTTCAATACCCTGGAAAACTACTATAAGAATGGAAAACATTCTGTTTTACCTTCCTTGCAACAGCAACAGCCACAGAAACAACTCAGTATGCTCCCGGCTGGTACGAAACAACCATTGCCCCCACACATTCCACAGTACTTGCCTCAGTTTCCCGATCCTCACGCCTACGTTAGAACACCTGTGGGTATTTGATAATAAAAGTCTCGTAAGAGATCTCACTATATTTTTTTCAGACACATAAACAACCGGTGATTGATTACGAATCTGTGAGAGAAAAGGCAGCTATTCAGAAAAGAGACATCGAAAAGGCTTTGACAAAATTTTTGGCAAAAACTAGTGCGACACATAACCTGTTTGATACTGATGAGGCAAACATATTTCCATGTAAGTGAAACGAACCATTCATTTCTTCATTCATAACAAAATTCTTTATTGATCAGTTTTCGCTGACTCACTTTATCGATTTTTCATTTCAGTAATAGCATCCAAGCCGGCTTATCCTCCTTATCTCAGTGCCCTTTTGCCTCAGGACCAAATTTTCGATCCGGAAGACCTGGACTTCGACCCCAAAAGCCAAATCATACAACAGCAGAAAAATCATGACCGGGCGAAGAAGAAAATCAAGCCAGAGATTAAAGAAGAAATGGAGGAGCCTGACGAGACCATGAACGAGTCAAGAACCAGCGAATCAGATAATCCGAGTGGGATGAATTTCATTGATAACCCCTACCTGGCTGCTACTAAGTTACCAGCTGGTCAAGCTATGGATACCTATTGATACTTCATTATCGATTGATGGACTGCATGGATTTTAATGTAGTTTGATGTTCTGAGATCTTGTAGGCTCTTCATTTGTCAAGGACAAAAACTTTTCTCAGGTTACAGTCCAGTTAAATAAATCTAGATCAGGTGTTTGATTGAGTTTAATACAGATCGAAAAAAAATGTGATGAAGATAATTTTATGCAGGTGTAGATAGCGCAAACTTCTAGCCCACCCCGTTGAGTTACTGCATAAGTTCAATCTATTCACACTAAAAAAAGTGCTGTTTTATCAGTAATCTGTCATGATTGGTTGTTCTGTCTATCAAAAAACAACAATTTTGTAATTTCTTCCACAAGGAATCTTATGTTCAAAGGTAAGATATTGTTAATAGCTTGTACAAGTTTCGACTTTTGAGGGTTATCATTCGTAATGACAGCTGTTCAACGGAAAGACACATTTCAACTCATTTTTTATTTCGGCATTTCAACACTTCTTACTTTTGTGTCTCTCACCAACAAACTTAGCATGCTAAACAGCTGAAACGGTTTACATATGTTCGAAACCAATGTACAAACATAAAAAAATGAATAATCGTTAATCGAAAGTGTGTAGCCCGCGACTTTTGAACATTCACTTTACTTTTTGAACATATCTTATCTTTGTTTGAAGGTGGTTGACAATATTTCGTGGTGTATTTCATCAGTTCGGACTTCCACTGTCTAATATAATATGAATTGATTTGAAATCCCTGAAAAAAAAAAACAGGAACTAGGCATCATCAAAAATGACCTTCAACGGAATGGTTACTCCAGAGTCATGGAAGAACAGGTTTTAGCTAGAAGACAGCAACCAGTCTTCAACTGGTTGGGTCCAAGTATAACATTAGGATCTGCTTCAGATCTGGGAACACTATCCGTAGCAGCCTCACGAAAACCAGGCCTCCAAACGCGGACTGCGATTCCAAGAATTGCATTTACTGGATACCCTGTGAGTGCAGAGAATCATACATCGGCGAAACTAAGAGGCCATTGAAAGTTCGCATTGCTGAGCACAAGAAACACACACAGCGAGGAGAAATCAGCAAATCTGGAATAGCAGAGCATGTTTGGTCTCAACATAATATCAAGTGGGCTCAAGCTGAAATCATCCACAAAGAGGAACACTGGTTTAGATTACTCAACATAATATCAAGTGGGCTCAAGCTGAAATCATCCTCAAAGAGGAACACTGGTTTAGGAGAAAATTCAAAGAAGCCGCGTATATATTGTCCAACAACGCATTTAGTCAAGCAAGCGTAGAGATACGTAACATATGGTCATCTCCCGCTAAAATCAATGAAGTGGATAGAGGGAAGAGGGGATAGGTGAAAGCACTCGAATGACCTATAAATAGTCAGATCTCGGAGGAATAAGTTCAGTTATCATCTGAAGACGATTGTGGCTACTAACAATCGAAACGTCGTGACGTACCTTAGTTTGGAATCTTTTAATTTTTCACTTTGACAATGGAAGTCCGAACTGATGAAATATACCTTATCTTATCCATGCTTATATGAAGTTCTTCATTATAATTTTTCTTTCTTTTGTTTTGTGGAAAGTGAAATATTCCTAATAAGGTCAATAGAAAACAATTGATTTTCACCAATTAAATGACTTGTTCATATTGAGGATTTTAGAGTCGGCATTTGGACGATACAAGGTTTTGGATTTCTACTTCTCCATCTTCATACAAAACAATGTGCGAATCTCCCAAACATTTTATTTTGTAATTATTTGCTTTCTTCCTGTCTTTGGAAGATTCTCACATTATTTTTTAAAGAAGACGGAGGAATAGAAAGCCGAAACCTTTCTTTCCCAAAAATTATTCCCGCTTGAAACTATATTTCAATTTATCATAAGAGATGTTTCATTATAATTGTGATATTGATGTGAAATAAAATGGCATCGACACATCTACCCATTTGTTTTAATTTCAATAAAAAGAACATGAAAATACTAGGAGCAGTATATTCGTAGGAGACACAGTAATCACAGCTTTTGTTGCCAATATTGTCTTCAACAGTTGTTAAATTTTTATGGTTTTCTCATATAAAGGGTTGGGAATAACTAAGAACTTGTTCAAATGGCTAGCCTTGTTAAAGTATGAAAATTGATAATGGAGACTCATATTTTCACTCTAAAATACTATTGTAACAATCTACAAAAACACATCAAGACTAGTTTCAAATATGGTAATGATTTACGACGCTTGCCTTCGAGGAACTTCATTCAGTAAAGGCCACATTCATCGCTTGTTGAGTAATATACCAATACTCAATGAATATGACGTGGTCGAGGCAAAAGTATAGTGTTTTCCTTGTTGAGAATCATTTTATGAAGTTCGAGAAATAAAACCAAATACAATTTTGATATTTGCTCAATATCTCAATGACCTAAATTCAGTTGACCCTACTCCTTACTCCAATCGCTATTTACTGGATCGCTAAAAAAAACGGATTGTAATACATTAATTCACATTGTCAACTGTATTACATAATCGTCAAACAAGGCATAATAATATACTCTTGAACAGTTAATTTTAACAAATTCGTTCAGGACCGCACTTCTCGCTTTTTATCTGCGAGAAAGAGAAGTATTTAATTTTTGTAGAATATTTTGTATGAAAGAACAGTTTTTAGGAAAAAGCTTTTTGTCTCGAAAAATGAGAATTCAGTCCCGGGCCAGTCCTATACCTAGTTAATAGAGAATCCTACGTTGAAGTTGAAAACTGTTGTTCTGAGTATATGACGAATGATATTGGAGTACCTCAGGGGTCCGTACTGGGGCCACTAATGTTCATCATATTTATAAACGATACGCCTGAGTTCTTATCAAAAGGATCTGTCACGATGTTTGCAGACGACTTCTCAGTAGTGGTTACATCGCAGACACCAGAGGCACTTTAAAATGCTGTTACACACATTAGATATATATTCATTTGAAAATTGGTTGAAGAAATACATCACGGGCGTAGATCGAATGAAAATACGCGATCTTAATGATATGAGAAATTCCCACCAATCATAACAGGAAATATATATGTGTGTATATGTGTACACATGTATCATCTAGTTCTTCAATTCTGGGAATAATAAATTGACTGAATTACCAATCTCAATGTATATATGTACAATTTTGTCTCTAAATATATTTAAAAAAAACCAAATGAAAAAATTAATTATTTTTTATATGAATTCTGAAATATACTAACTAACCATACATTATATATGTAAAATTATTGCTAATATTCATTAAGTGAAATGTGTTTTATAACTTTTATACTTTAATATACATTATATACCTACTAACCAAACTTTAAACATTATAGACTTTTCCGCTAATAGCTATCCCTTTCTATGAAAGCAAATGAATCATGTTAATCTCACTTAGTCGAGAAACCCTACATAATAACCTTAAGATAAGTGAATAATCAACATTAATCCCTATGGACAAGATAATCTTTTGTAGGGTTCTTGTTTATTTCTTGTAATTACTTTATTCTTCGCAAATTTCCAATGTAACCATTGCCTGAAGAGAAGCTGCTATTCTATTAGATTCATGTCAAATCACTGCAGCTCTAGTATACTCTTAACATTGTATCATGCTAACTTCCATTCACACCTTTGATATGGCATTCTCATTTGGGGTATGAGTGATTCTGTTAAAAGGATATTTCTCCTCCAGAAATATGCAGTTAGAATAATAGCTAAGCTAGGGTAACGTGATTCATGTAGGGATGCTTTTGAACAGCTAAAAATTCTTAGTTGCCAGCACCTACATACTAGAGGCTAGTGTCAGTCCTCTCGTCCAAAGCTCTAATCGTTCCAAACGCTCATAGAACTTGTTTGTATGAAAAAAACGTAAAGTACAGTGGGTGTGAATTATACAATATGCTTCCAATATCTCTTAAGAATTCCCCAAATATTAATGTGTTCAAAAGTCAGCTGAAAAAAATACTACTTTAAAGGACTTGTTGAACCATTCAAGAATTCACCAATCAACTAACCTGAGACCTTGAGCTTTAGCACATTTGGTTAAAGTGTTTACTTTCAATACTTGAAAAATACTTGAGAAATTGTGTGTTGATTACATTTTATTGCATTTTTTATGGTCTATGACGAGTTACATTCATATTTTTATATGGATGTTTATCACTGTTTGTGTTATTGTGTTGTTTATATTATTTTGACTGACTTATAATATGGTTACATATTATTTGGACTGACTTTTATAATATGGTTACATGTAGTTATTTACATTTATATGCTTTTACATTTACTTTTACTTTTATAATTGATATTTTCTTTGTTTATTGTACATTGACTTCTGTCAACTGTACTTTTGATGTAGTATACCACCTTACTTGTAACTAACGTTACTGCAGTTTCGTCCTACGAGGAGTGTTTCAAACTTCCTTGTAGGGCATTTAAAAATGTCCGACTGAGCTTTATGTCTTTCTAATTCTCCATTCATACAAAAATTATGGGAAACTTCTGTTTTGATACGATCCTAGAGGAGAACACTCCACCTGCATCATTCGAACTTCAACCGCTTGTTTATGTTGTGGGTTCCTTGGCAAAAGTCCGGCCCTAACAAATTGAAGAATGATTACAGCTGTTTGAAACTGCTCACTTCCTGCAATTCAAACATGCAACAATACTTGGCACTTAATATTTAGTAAAGTTTCGACCATGGCATCCGAATCTCAAATAGTTAATTGGGTCGAAAAATCCATAGAGAAACTAGATCTGAAAAACTACAAAATAAACATTACAGGGCGTTCAGAAAAAGATGAGGGCTACGTCGGTGACATAATTTTTGTCGAGGTTGAAGGGGCTTGCGAAGAAAACAAATCCTCGATCCTGCATTTAGTGGTGAAGCACGCTAAAATCAATGAGCACATGAGGAAAGCTATGCCGGTGGATATCATTTTCGAAAATGAAATCTACATGTACTCTACTGTGATTCCAGCTTTCCAGAGATTCCAGAAGGACAGAGGAGTGGACAACGTCTTCAACTGTATAGCCAAGTGTTATTATTCCTCTTCCTCTGAAGACACGGAGGTCCTGATTCTGGAAAACCTCAAAGTAGCCGGGTTTCAAAATTATGACAGAAAGAAACCAATGGACTCTACTCATTGCAAGGCGATTTTGCAGCAACTAGGCAGGTTCCACGCTGTCTCCTTTGCATTGAGGGATCAAAATAAGGATGAATTTACTGCCCTGACGACCAATATACAAGATCCCATGAAGTGGTTCATGAACGACCCTGCGACCGTTTCCTCCATGAAGAAATCGCAAGAGTTTGTTTCTGCATTGTTGAAGAAGAAAGGCGATTTGGAGTTGTACGATAAACTGGAAAAACTGTGGAAATCACTCGATACAGAAGTCAATGACGATTTCTTCACAGATGACGAACCGCAGAATGTTATAAATCATGGTGATCCTTGGTGCAACAATTTTATGTTTAAATATGAGGTAGGTTTGAATGTGGTGAATGTTATTTGTTGAATAATTCAGAGTTTCACTGTTTTGAATGAGTTGAAATCTGATATTGACTCAGAATTCAGTTAAACAATACAAAAATCCCATTAGTCCCATAGGAATGTAGGTTTTCACGGCTGGCGTCAATATTTTGGTTGGTTTCCGGGTTTTGCCATGGTCGTCTTTGGTTATAATCTCCAAACGTTTCGACTGCAACTGCGGCAGTCATCTTCAGTGGCTTGGTCGAAGTACTCTTCTTGAGGTATCAACTGAAACTGAAGCTCTCATTTGTGCCATGTCATTTATAGTGCTGATTTTCCGCGCAATTTCTGTAATAAAAAAAAACAAACAGATCGATACCTACATAATGGATCCAACCATTTTCCAAAGGAGAAACGAACCGTCATCAACACCCTAGTGAACAGAGCTTTGAGATTATGTGAAGAAAGGTTAGGTTAGGTCCGGAGTGAGTGGGCCTATTCGACCCTTGATTGATGTAACCATCACGAAACTACTTCGTGATGGTTACATCACGATGATGTAACCATCACGAAGTAGTTTCGTGATGGTTGCATCAAGCAAGAGCAATGAAGGTGATATACTGGGAACAACATAACCCATGTGAACAAATCAGCTCATAGTCAGATATTCAGCATACATGAGCCCTTTTCAAATGAATACAAAAACTTACTTCTTAATGTATGATCTTCAAAACTATTAGGAAAGCACAAGCTGAATTACTCTGAAGGTCGGTTGAGTCCGACACTGTGTTTCTGGTTCGATTTTTCAGTAAAGTTTGTTAAAAATGTGATTTAATGAAATTTGTTCATTGGTTGATCCATTACTTTCACATCATATCCTCATTTCATTATTTTTTGAAGTGTCATTTGATAAAAAGAATAACTTCAGCAGTAAAAAAACAGAAAAAAAATGTGAAAAGCATTCTTCAGCAACTGACTTGAGATCAATTAATTTGTTGTATTTATAACTTCACAAAAAAATGTCAAATACTTTTTGTAAATGTCATATTCTTTAAAAAATATACCGGTGTTTCAACCGAAACAGTTTTTTCGACGAATTAGATCCAATTCGGTTTTTCATAACAATATCCAATTTGACCTTCTCGAAAAATTTAATAAATGAATAAAAAAAGTTGGGATGATGGCACATTCGTTCGATTCATTTTTTTTTTCAATTTCGAAAATAGAATCGGCAAGTTATTTGAAGAATATTGGCAAAAAAGTGAATAGTTTATTCGTGTACGGTTCGTGTACCATCTGAGTTGTTCGGCATTACCAAATGAATGATTGTGTTTGAAATAAAATACTAATTTCATGAAAGCCGTACTGAAATTTTCCATCACTTTTGCTTTCCAAAAAGACATTTTTTCTACTTTTTCCTCATTTTATATATGGAATTTGGTTAAGGAATACATACTTCGTGATCAGTAGGTATCTATTTTCAAGAAAGCCGTACTGGAATATCAATTGTTTTGCAAATACATCACCGAAAATGAAATTTTCTTATATTTTCTTTTTACATTATTCGTATGGCATATGATTAGGAAATATACAAGTAGTAATTAGTATCTATTTTCATTAATGCCCTACTGGAATTTTCCATCTTTTTTGCAAATACATTTCCGAAAATGACTTCCTTTCCCAATTTCTTCTATGGTATTTGTTTAAGAAATATACAAGTCGCATTAGTATCTAATTTCATGAAAGTCTTACTGAAATTTCCATTTTTCATGCAGATACATTTTCGAAAATGAGATTTTTCTCTATTTTACTTTCTCATTTTTTGTATGGCATTTGGTGAGAAAATATACAAATCGTAACTAGTATCTAAATTCATGAAAGTCGTACCGAAATACTCAATGTTTTTTGCAGATAGATTTCTGAAAATGACAATTTTTTTATTTCCTTTCCTATTTTTGGTATGGAATTTGGTTGGGAAATATACGAGTCGTAATTACTATCTAATTTTTTGCAAGCCGTACTGGATTTTTCATCATTTTGCAACTACAGTTCCTAAAATGACATTTTTTCAATTTTCCTTTCTCATTTTCTGTATCGCATTTGGTAAGAAAATATATCTGTTGTAATGAGTCTCAAATTTCATGAATGCCGTTCTGGAATTCTCCATATTTTTTGCAAATACATTTCCAAAAATGATATTTTTTCTATTTGCCTTTCCCATATTTTGTATAGCATTTGGTTAGGGAATATACAAGTCGCAATAGATGTCTAATTTTATGAAAGCCGTACTGGAATTTTTCATCATTTTGACAAATTTCGAAAATGACATTTTTAATTTTTTTTCCATTTTTTGTATGGCATTAGGTTTGGAAATATACATATCGTAATTGCTATCTTATTTTATGAAAGCCGTACCTACTGGAATTTTCCATAATTTTTGCAAATACATTTCCAAAAACGACATTTCTTCTACTTTCTATTTCCATTTTATGTATGGCATTTAGTTAAGGAATATATAAGACGTGATTAGTATCTATTTTCATGAAGCCGTACTGGAATATCATTTTTTTTGCAAATACATTCACAAAAATATATTTTTTTCTATTTTCTTTCCCCTTTTCCTATATGGCATATGATTAGGGAATATACAAGTAGTAATTAGTATCTATTTTCATGGAAGCCGTACTGGAATATTCATTTTTTTTGCAAATACATTTCCGAAAATTATTTTTTTTCATTTTTTTTCCCATTTTCTGTACGGCATATGAATAAGGAATACACGAGTAGGTTAGGGAATATGCAAGTCGTAATTACTACCTCAATTCATGAAACTTTCGAAAACATTGAGTTATTGTATTCATTTTATCAAGATTTTCTCTATTAAAACTATACATGATAGTCTCATAAATTTTTAGCATGAACATGCGTTTTTTTCCTTACAGGGTCTTGACAAAAACAACCCATCGGAAGTGGCAATATTGGACTGGCAAATGTCTGCAACACGATCACCAGTTTTCGATCTCTCGTACTTTTTCTACGCCGTATGTTCCAAAACGGAGTTGGAATCTTTTGAGGAGTTGCTGAAGTTCTACTACGACACCTTCGCAGAGCACTTGGTCGAATTGGGAAGCGATCCCGAAGTGCTCTTTCAATATTCCGACTTGAAGATACACTGGAAAAAGTATTCTATTTACGGGGTCCTTACCGCGTGTACAGGGTTGAAAATATTTCTTTGCGACAAGAAAAATGCACCAGATTTAGGCAGCATTGAGGAGGGAACACATTTCATGGAGTTATTTACGGATGTACCATTGGACGAGGTGCCATTCTACGAAAGAATAAAACCAGTTATCTGGCACTATTTTGATTTTATAGAAAAAAATTAGTGACCGATCTTTGAGTTAATCTGTATTGAAGTGGTGAAAAAATCAGTCGGAATAATAAAAATTTCAATGAAAATGGTAAAAAATAAATATAACTATTTACCACTATATGAAATGCTATTTTTTTTCGTGGTTGGCGGCGGTAACTACGAAGACTGTCTTTCAATCTTTCTGTCTTTTGATTTGAAAGCTAATAACTAGATGTTTCTTGATAATATACTAGAAAAAACAGAAGTGATAACTGAAACTAATCTCTGTTGAACTATTCAATTTTGAAATTGTTTAACTTGAGAAAAGCTTAAATTATTACTTATATTTCATGTATACTGATATGATAATGTTAAGAAAGGTTATTCATTAATAAAAATGTTTATTGATTATTTTGTGAATGTACATATAGTAATAATAATACGTCTTTATTCACCATAAAAATACAAATGGAAAAGACAAAAATAAAATAAAACAGTATACAGGAACAATAAGGAAAACAAAGAAAAAAACTTCCAGTATATGGTGAATAGGCGGAGAATCAGCCAAGGCTGTTTTTCAACTCAACCTGGGAGAAACTATAGATAAATAATATAAACACAAGTCGAGTTAAAAATATAAAAAAATTTTAGTTGTTGCTTTACTTTAGAATTTTAGAAAATTCATTTTAGAAATGCCAAGGTCGGGAACGGACAAGACGCTAATGAGACAAATAAGTCTTCAGTCTTTTTTTAAAGTTTACGATGATGTATGATCGAAATTCGCCGGCTAGTTGATTATAATATTTGGGTGCATTATACGAGAAGCAGCGGCTGAGGATGGAGGATTTGTGTTTGGGGATGATTAAAGCTGAACTGTTCCTTGTAGTAAAGCTGTTAATCGTAGAGAATGTTTTAAGCTTCCTCAGTAAGTAATCAGGTTGTTTAGTTATCAACACTTCATGTGTGTTGGTAACATTTAACCATCCTGATTCTTGCATTGCTGGGGATATATGGTCATATTTCCGAATACCAAACGAGAAACGTAGACAGCTATTCTGAATACGCTGTAGTCGGAAAGCATCCGATTGTTCTGAAGCAGGTCCATAAATACTGTCGCAATAGGAATTTTTTGACATAATCAGAGACTCGCATAGTCTAAGTTTTAAGTTTGTGTTGAGCAAATCACGATTAGAAAAAAGATCTCTGAAAACGTTATAAGAAGATTGGTTCAGATAGCTGACATGTTTAGTAAAGCAAAGATCCAGATCAAACCACAATCCTAAATTTTTTATCTCGTCCACGGAGGGAAGTTAATCGTTTTCGATGCGAACTTGAAAGGTAGAGTTGGTGAGCTCTCTGTTCTTCTTAGCTCCGAACATCATTATTGCGAATTTGTCTGAATTGAGCTTGAGCTTATGGGCAGTAGAAATGTCAAAGATGGCTTGGAGATCGTTATTAATATGCGACAGAGCAGATGTAGACTCGCCAGGCGAAAAGGAGAAATATGACTCCGTGTCGTCTGCATAGTGATGTATATTGCATTTTTTCACGGACAGATAAAAGTCACAAATATACAAGCTAAAAAGCAAGGGCCCAAGGATAGATCCTTGTGGCACTCTCTTTAATACCGGCAGAGCATCTGCCTTATATTCGAATTTCCAAACTGATTGAATGGGCGAACCCACCTCTGTCAAATGTTGATATTGCATTAGAGATGATAAAACTGGTGAACTGATGTAGGTACCCAGTGTACAGCTTCACGAATCAGTCGATGTAACAAAAGCAAAACTATGGCCACATATACTCAGGTCGAATGTTGGGCTGAGAAATTTCTGGTGTCAGAAAATTTAAAGAATTACAAAGTTGTGATACGCGGCGGCACCGAAAAGGGTGAAGGTTTTCTAGGCGACATTCTGTTCGTTGAAGTTGAAGGAACCACTCAAAATGATGTACCAAAACGGCTGTACTTTGTGGTGAAACACGCAAAACCCAGTGAAAATTTCAGAAAAACCATTCCTGTCGACCTGATTTTTGAAAATGAGATACTCTTGTATACCGCTGTCATTCCTGCCTTCCAGAAATTCCAACAGGAAAAACAAATTACCGATTCGTTCGATTGCGTCGCCAAGTGTTTCTATTCCTCTACCTCTGGAAACATAGAAGTCTTAGTCCTAGAGAACTTGAAGAAAAAAGGATACCAGCACTACGATAGAAAACAACCTATGAATCTGAACCACTGCAAAGCGATACTGAAGCAATATGGAAAGTTACATGCTCTCTCTTTTGCCATGCGGCATCAGAAGAAAGAGATATTCGATGATCTGGCGTCGAAGCTTCATGATACACCAGGTAAGATCTTGGGAACCGATCTTGTTGGCAAAGTTCTCGATGATTCTAGAGACGTCATCCTGGAGATGTTCAGAAAAAACGGCGATGGTGTTCTTCATGAAAAACTGGCGAAATTGTTGGAGAGGGGTCCGCAGGTGATGATGATGGAGGCACTCAACGCCGAAGAGTCCCAGTCTGTTGTAACACACGGAGATTGCTGGTGTAATAATTTTTTGTTCAGATATGAGGCGAGTATTTTCCTTCATCCCACTTATTCATTTGGAATGTTCGATCAAAACAGACCTTTCAAATTTCTAGAATTGCATACATAACAAAAAAAGGTTCTCAGACTTCTGGCGTACTGTACAAGAAGCAAGTTGACAATCCAGTAGCCATAATGAATGCTATAGCAAATTCTTCTGACGTAGCAAGGTCTGTTGTATCTAACAACTTCATAATCTTCATTCCTTCACTGAGTAAAGAGGAAGGGAGAGTTGTTCTAAAAAATTTAAAATTTAGCAACTTGTGGTGTTAACGATATTTATAAAAATTTTTTTGCTTGTCTTGTATTATAGTCATGGATGGTATTTATTTGATTGAATTCCAAATTCGAATGTTTGTGATTTTTTCTAACAAAATGAATGAATTTTCAATTGGAAAACAGACTGAATATCTAAAAGATCACGTGATATATATAAATTTGACGTAGGTTCAAGGTTTGGTAATTTCAATATACATTTTATTATTTTATTTTGCAGTCTCTTGGGAGAATTTAATATTGATAAATTAGCTGTTCCCAATTGGAATTAAATATTGTAGATTTGAATATATCAAACAGAAATATGTATATACATTTGAAATATTTTAATCGTATAACATTTCTAATCCTAAATAATATTCCTGAAATTGGTCCGATTTTCTTTTTTAACATCTCAATATGAGTATTCCAACAAAGACTTTCATTAATGTAAAGTCCTAAAAATTTTGTGATTTTGACAATATTTAATTATTTTGTTGTTAACAGCAAAATTCTCTTCGTTTGTGATTTTGTTCTTAGTTATCAATATTGAAGAAGACTTAATAATTCAAACTCAATTTATGATAATTGAACCAAGAGGTAAACTTCTTTAGTATCACTAGAAAAATAAAGCAATGTTGTGTCATCCGCGTATAACTTAATATTTCCTTCAAAGCTTTTCAATCAAGGACTGGACTTGCATTTTGCAAAACCTTTGCAAATCATTTGCAACTTGAGCTTGGACACAGATTTCACAAAGGCATTTTACAACCTCCACTACAAAACCCCACTTGCCAAATCATACTATTTTGGGATAGACGAAAAAATAATATAATTCTGTTCTTTGTATCATAATTGATCTCTCAAATCTAGTTTGTACCTCGCAGAGGCGATAAGTACTATCAGTTTACAGGCTCATACGGCTTGCCCCGTATATACCTGTTTTCAGGTATATCCATCAATTAATTGGAGTCCAATCTGAAATCCTCGAAATTTAAATTTTATATAATTGTAAATTGTTGGATGTAGCCGTTACTACGTGGTAGGAAATCATAATGAAGAAGAGAGAATTGAAACTTTTTATGTACATTAATGTGTAAGTTTGAAAATGTCCTTATCGAACGAAACTGCAGTAACGTTGTTAGTTACAAATGAAAGTGGTGAAAACATATAGAGTTTTAATTTTCTTTTCTTCATTATATAATTTTAGTGTGAATAAGATGTTTTGCAAATGTTCGGCTGGTTTCTGCTGATGACTTCGTGCATTTGTACTTCTCTTAGCAACCAAGTGTTGTCCATATTTCCACATGGCTGTAACATACTGATGATGGACCACAAGCTCGAAACACCCGCCTTTGGTTTGCCCCTTTTTTGAATGCTATGTCCAAAAAAATTATCTCTATATGTTGAATCAAAAACAGGGAAAATTCATGGACGAAGTATTCAGAAAATATGCAAACCGTAGACACGTGTTTCTGGGTCATTAGTTGTCATCAGTACGGTATAACCAAGTGCAAGGTTAGGCAACACTTGGTTGCAGAAACAACACGAATAATCATATAATCGAAGACAGGAAAAATTAATGGACGAAGCACTCAGAAAATATGCAAACTGCAGACCTGTGTTGACACATGTTTCATCAGTACGGTAAATGATATATTTAGTTATTTGGAAACATAAACGCAATTAACGCAAATTGATGGATGTAGCGTTACTACGTGGTAGGAGATTATCATGACTCAATCCAGAAGGTTTTTCAGAAAACAAAGCCTCAAATTTACTTAATATACCCCCAGACCAAACAATCAAAAGAAAAGAGACAATTGCGGGTTTTCTCAGATAAAACAATGTGGAGGTGGCATTCAGACCACATGCTGGGTTATTTGATTTCCTTTTCAATGCCAGAAATAAGGTGGACAATTTGAAAAAATCTGGAGTTTATAAGCTCAAGTGTCCGGAGTGTAATAGTGTTTATGTAGGACAATGTGGTCGACATTTCTCGAAACAAATTCCCGAATATAAACGATAGGGTAATTTTGCACTTTGCAAGCAAGGGTTGGAATCCTTATAATTCATAAGCATGAGTATAAGCATTCGCGATGTAACCTGCCAAACTATCAAATCGATCTAGTTTACTCACAGGTTTTCAAATTAGCGTACCCACATTGTCACAGGTGAACAAAATTCAGGTACTCAATTAAGCTAAGTACCTCTGTTATTACCTAAAGTGATGTTTAGATATTTTAGGGCTAATATTATCAATTATTTTCAGTTCATTGTTTGAAAATTTCTTTATAGGAGGACACTGCAGTAAAAGTGGTAAAAAAATATAGAAAGATTCATTTTTCGCAATTAACGTATCACATATGGTTTTATATTCTCGATGTTCTGTATGAAACGATCATATTTATGTCATATTTATATCATTCTGATACTGGCTGTGCTCATATACGAATGTAGTTATGTAGATAAGAGTTTTCCAATGTGCTGACTTTTTTCTCGGACAGAAGAGAAAACAATTCAAGATAGTTTCGACTTCGAAACATTCAGTTTCAGCAAAACACCTCAAAAATATATTTTTCAAGAATATTTACATTATTTTCATTCCATTTCAAGCATTTGTTGGAAAATACTAACGTTAACATGAACTATTCACTTCAATATTCGCGAATGACGTAGCAAGATTGCGTGAAATAAAAATAGGATGCAATTTAGATTTCGTAATTACCATTCAAAGACGGATTCCTTGATAAGATTAGCAAAAAACAATGGAGTTGTTTCGACTACTTCAATGTTGACTGTAGTTTGTGGATACAAGGCTCTCGGAAATGTTCTGAGATTAAAAAAAAATTTATTGTATGAAATACTTTGTTGAAATTATTCATGAAACGAATCAAGACAATAATAACATTGTTTTGACTTCACGAATTGAGTGGGTTTCCTTGGATACTGCCTATAAATCAAATTATCTGTAGGTTAATGGATTGACACCTATCAGAAAACAACTATTCCCCTGGCTAATACCACGAAGGATGTTGAATTATATCCAAACGGTCAGTGCAGGAATCTTCACAGAAGTATTTCCTCTATATACTGTTGGCGATACAACTGCTGGAATAGGTTTTCAATTATAGGAACGGGCACACTTGCAGACCGGTTTCGAGCTATTTGGCCTCTCGTCAGTGCAAGTTAGTGGCCATCATCAACCTGAACTTGATGATATTTCATAATAAAAAATTCCTTTCAGAGTATCATTCCTCGAACAAGGCTGAAGCGAACGACAAACAACAAATCGTAATATCGCTCCATCTGGTGAACAAGGTATAAACCTCCACATTTATTTAGTGGGCATACTCGAATACTGGCTATAAATAAAATTAACTGAAAGAACAATTTGTTCAAGCCAGTCTCGACTTACCTACACTGTAGGTTAATGGACTGACACCTATCAGAAAAGAACTACTCCCCTGGCTAATACCACGATAATAATAATACTAATAATACCGTATTCGCCATATTTGGCTCCCAGCGACTACTGGCTGTTCGCAGACCTCAAAAAAATGCTCGTTCGACTGAAGAGGTAACTTGTTTTACGAAATTGAAATGTTAGAGCGGCGCTGTTCTTGATGGGGATCACATTGATGAACAAAGCCAACTTTGAACAAAAAAACGTGTTTTCTTTTTTAGACCCGATACTTTTCAGCCCATGGTTAGTTTCAATTTCTTTGAGAATACACGAATATAGTTTTGAAGCTGAAAAGCCAAAAATTTATTTTGGACTCTTTCAATATTTGTTATATACTGATTGTGAATGGGATTCTATATTGAGGATCCATATTCTGATTTTTACTTTACTAAGCTAAAATATAGGCAATAAAATCGTAAGAGCAATAGATAGAATTACCAATAACATTAGTATGTTTGTTTGAAGTTGGTTGACAATGTTTCGTAGTGTATGTCATTAGTTCGGACTTCAAATTAAAATATTCCAAGCCAAGTTATTTCACAATGTTTCAATTGTTAGCATCCACAATCGTCGTCGGGTGATAACTGACTTATTTCTCCGAGATCTGACTATTTATAGGTCGTTCGAGTGCTTTCACCTATTCCCTTTCACCGCTTCATCAGTTTTAGCGGGAGTTAGTCGTGTTCCGTTTGATTAGATGTTTCCATATGTTGCGTACCTCTACGCAAGCTTGGCTAAATGCGTTGTTGGACAACATATGTTGCGTATCTCTACGCTAGCTTGGCCAAATAGTGTTGTTGGACAACATATATGCGGCTTCTTTGAATTTTCTCCTGAACCAGTGTTCCTCCTTGTGGATGATTTCAGCTTGAGCCCACTTGATGTTATGTTGATGAGTCTAAACATGCTCTGCTATTCCTGATTTGCTGGTTACTCCTCGCTGTGTTTCTTGTTCTCGGCAATGGCCTCTTAGTTTCACCGATGTATGACTCTCCGCACTCGCAGGGTATCTGGTAAATGCAATTCTTCGAATCGCAGTCTGCGTTTGGTGGTCTGGTTTTTGTGAGGCTGCTACGGATAGTATTCCCAGATTTGAAGCAAGTTCTGATATTATACTTTGATCCAATTCTTCTTATCCTTTGCGATAATCCTCTGATGTAGGAAAGTACGAATATTGGTTGTGGCGGCTTCTCTTCCTTGTGGGGCTCTTTTTGGTTGTTTGTATTCCATTTCATTGTATTTCAGTTTTTTTGTTTAATACCTATTTAATGTTTAATATTAATATTTTATTTAATATTTATGTTTAATTTTTTTCAGCTAATTTCCTTAAAATTTTTTACAGATTCTTTCAACTATTTCAAAACAATTGAAATCATATTAGACAATGGAAGTCAGATCTGATGAAATACAAAATCGATAATCAAAATGAACACCTAGATCCCTGGACAGTGTTAGTTCTATCCAAAATAGATTCATTGATACTGTATGCGAATTATATTATATTGAATTTTCTGGTACAATTTCGTATTTGGAAATATTTGAATTGAGACGGTGCATCAGTGTTCAGCTTCTTTTGCGATCTAGTACAGTCATCTTATCGTCAAAACTTCAAATAATCTGCAAACATCGATCTATTGCAGAATAATGTGTTGCATGGATCATTTATGAATAGTGAAAAAAAGTAAGTTTTTGGCTTTCTACTACTCTGTTTTGATACAAAAAAAAACTTTCAGACACAAACTGAGATCAAGCTTATTCCGTGACATTAAAAATCGTAATTCATTAATAAATTGTGTGTATTTTCTATAATGTTATCCAATTTGGTACTGAAGAGCCTTGAGGCAAGTGTCTTAAGGCGAAACATCGGTGTATACCAGTGAGGGTGACATTGTTCCATGTAAGTGCAATTAATTACCATTCATTAAAAGTAGAAGTCATGTGAATGATGTCTGATTTGTATTCAACAACGAATGTTTGAAATACAAACTGAGTGGTGAAAAGTATCTTCTGTATAATTCAGTGTTCATATAGAAGTATTTGTTTCGAAAAAATTTTTTTCTTTCATGTAATTAAAATTGATTACTTCCTTCCTTTCTTTGAAAGATTCCCTCATCCCTTTTTCTTGTATCAAGGTGGAGTAGTAGAAAGCCAAAAACTTTCTTTCCCAACAATTAATCACCCCTAAAAATATAATCCCTTCAATGTAATGGCCCAAGCTTAGATCCTTGAGAGACACCCCTAGCTGCAAAATAACTATTTGAAGAGAAACCATTATAGCAGACATACTGCTTCCTCTGATCAATATTTGATTTAGAAAGTTGAATACAGATTTCATTGAAACCCATACCAGAAAATTTATGCATGGAAATCGCATGACTTATTTTATGGAAAGCTTCAGAGAAGTCGGTGTAAACCACATCAACCCGCTCTCTACGGTACAGTGTTTCACATAAAGATTGATCAGAAACAGCCAGTTACTCATTGTGAATCTATAATTCATGAAACCATGTTGATGATCGGAAATAATATACATGGTTGACAGGTAAATGCTGTTGTACATAATCACCCACAAGAGTTTCGCGTTGAGGCCTTCTGAATTGTTATGTAAATATATTACAATATTGTTCAAATACATCTATCATACATTTCCATCAATTTCGCCAGTGAATGTTGCTAAGAACGTCTTTTTTCCATGTTCCAGGAAGACTCCAAAGATAAACCCTCAGCAGTAGCCCTTATTGATTTCCAACTATCTACCCTGCGGTCACCTGTGTTCGACCTGTCCTACTTTTTGTACGCCGTTTGTTCCAAAACCCAACTGGAGCGCTTCGAAGAACTTCTACACTTCTATTACAACTCACTTGCCGAACATTTGAAGGAACTGGGAAGTGATCCAGAGGAAATCTTCTCCTATTCCGACTTGAAGAGTCACTGGAGAAAATATTCCATTTTTGGACTGGTCAACGTGAGCATCGGGCTGAGAATATTTCTTTGCGACGAAGAAACAGCGCCCTCTTTAGAAGATGTGGGAGATGAAAACACTTTTGTTGATATATTCAAGAATATAAAGTTTGAGGACGACACGCTGTTTTACGATAGGATAAAAGGAGTAGTGTGGCATTATTTTCATTTCTTGGACAACAAATAGTGAATTTTAAGGTTGACTTTCAAGCCTATTTGCTTTGTAAAAAACAACAATGTGATTATAGTTTTGACAAATTCCAGTAAAAGGTCATCAACACCCACCTAGGGATGTGTTTTTCAATACAAAAGATTATTCATTTGTAGATCCCATCAAAAGTTTTGGTATATATGATGGTCTTAATACGTACTGGTATTACTCAAAAACGTTATTATTCATTTTAGTCAAGTATCTTGCGAAAACTACAGGATTCAAAATCAAAATCAAAATCAAAAAATCTTTATTTCCGTAGACCTAGGGAAGGCATGGAAAAAGTCACATTACTCAGTACAATTACAATGAGGTCACAATCATAAAACAACATAATAAGACATATTATATAACATTTAGACCATAGAAGGGATACAAAAATTAAAATTTAAAATTCCAAATCAGATTGAAAAAATTCATCAAGCGAATAAAATACCTTTTCACATAATAGTTTCCGAACTTTTTGTTTAAAGAGCTTTACACTAGTTATTTTTTTAATGGATATTGGGAGCTTGTTGTACAGTTTTATTGACATGATATGAGGTCCATTAGTGACCTTGGCTAACTTATGACTAGGAATTAAAATGTTATAGTTTTTTCTCAGGGTGAAGCCCGAAAGAAGACATGTATCATCTCTGTTCTGAAACTTGGAGCAATTTGATTTAACGTAGATTACGCAATTGAGAATATACATGCAAGTAACAGTTGATATATTCAACTTTGCAAATAGTGTTTTACAGGAATGGAGTGGTTTTTTAAAACAAATTGTTCTAATAATCTTTTTCTGGAAAACTAATAAGTCACTGATTCTATTACAGTTGCCAAAACAAATAATACAGTAATTGAGGGCAGAGTAAACATATGCATAATAGTAACTTTTAAGAATTTCAATAGACACAAAATTACGCAGATTCCTTATAACGAAACAGTGTGTCGCTAATTTCTTCAGTATGAAATCAACATGATGATTCCAATTGAGTTGGGAATCAATAAAAACTCCTAAAAATTTTTTATAGTTTACCTGTTCAATACTTTTAATCTCAGACCTAACCAATACACTACAATCAGTTTCCTGAATTGTAAAGAGAATGGTGTTGGTTTTAAGATTATTTAGAATCAAGCCATTTTTAAAGCAATAATTTTGCATGTTGCATACAGCATCATTTGCTCTTACTGACAATGTTTCACATTCCGAACCACTGACAGTAAAAGATGTGTCATCAGCAAATTATATAGAGCACTGTGGATGATTAATTTTTGAAAGGTCATTAACAAATAAAATAAATAGTGTAGGCCCCAAAACACTACCTTGGGGCACACCTGTAACAACGTTTCGAGATTCAGAAACAAATGACCCAGTCTTTTCGACTTGACGCCCGTGTCAAGTCGAAAAGAACACTAAGTGATTTTTCACCGTTGTCGAAGTTTGATAATACATGATTATGTAGAGAAAGGATGGCATCCTGGGTTGACAAGCCTACTTGAAACCCATATTGGTTGTCAGATACGATATTGTATTTATTTAAAAAGGACACAAGTCTGTTTTGATATGATTTGTCAAATATTTTCGAAAATGGAGATAGTAAAGCAATACCTCTATAGTTCGACATTACATGCTTATCGCTTTTTTTATGGACTGGGACGACCATTGCTTGCTTAAGCCGAGAAGGCCCTTTCGTATCACAGACATTTGGTAAGATATAGTTGCATTCATGACTAATGAAGAAAAAACAAAGAAAGGTATAAGGCTTAGGAAACTTCTATAAGAATCTCAACAACTTTCAATACCAACAGCAAAAATTATTGAGCTAACTTTCACTATTGATTGCAGACGACCCAATTCAACAAATTCCTTATTTCAGTGAAATTCTAATTACTTCTAAGAATTCAAAAATATTACAAAAACATTTGATGCAAAAATAAAAATAAAAGTCAAGTTTCACAGTTTTGATAGATTGGAAATATTCGTTTATAAATGAATGAGTCCAACTCTGGCAAAACAATGAATTTAATAGAACGATAATAGAACCTAGCAATTATTGCACTAACAACAGAACCAGATCTCACTGATCTCACATATATAAATAGACTAATAGATTAAATAGTTTCGGTTCAATTCTTATCAAATTAAAGCAATGTACGAATTCCCAGTATTCAACGTGTCCGAAGTTATTCAATTGTCTAATTGATATGAAAATATAAATACCATTCAAAAAGTTCAAATATGTAGCCGTTTCCCTCAAGAATTTTGTGGGAATGAAGTATTGAATAACAAAACAGTGGTTTAAAATTTGATTTCAATCTGTTTTTCCATTAATCAGTTGTCGCCCCCTGCGCACGACAACCCTCAGAAGTCGAAACTTGTGCGAGCTAAGGATTAACGAGGTCTAGCCTTCTAACGCGTGATTTCTAACACGGTTGGCTGATATGTTTTCAATTTTTAATTTTTTCAGAAATGAACCTTTCATTCCTAGGTACATTCTTCATTGGCTGTGACAAAATTATATGATTGGCAGCCTCATAAGCTTTCACCAAGTTTAGATTTATAGTAAAACACTTTTTTGTCGTTTATATTATTCGTAACAGCTCATACTTTTTTGAACAGCCAGTTCCTTTATTCGAAATGACAATTTGTTGAAGAAAAATGCTGAACTTCAGGAAATTTTCGAAAAATTTACTAAAATTTTCTAATTAGGGCTATAGTTGCATTTTCTGTTTTGAAAGTATATTCTGGAATTTTCCCCAATCTTCTATGTAATACACCGTGTTTCAAATTGTCTGTGTATCTAACCCTTGCTCTTTTTGTAGTAGTTTTTGTTGTAGTCTGATAAAATATTTCTTCATAGATATACAGGGTGGAGGATTCCATACGGCACGATCGATGTAAACCAAACCATGGGTTTTTTCGGGAATTTCTCCATTTCATTATATGTATATTGATTAATGCTGCAGAGCAAATTTATTTTGAAGTCTACAGGGTGGAACATAAAAGGACACATTAAAGTTGTGTTTTTTAAATGGAACACCCTGTATTTCACCACACCTTTGAATAGTTCAGGAAAGAAAGAAGAAAGAAGATTGAATTGAAGGTACTATGTACCTTACTATAACCGTTCTCGAGTTATTGGTTTTTTATGTAAATGCTAGGTACAGTTGGAAACTAAGTAACAGCGAAATGTATAGAAATCATCTCTTCGAATTCTGACCATGCATAAAAAAGGAGATTTTGGGCTATTGATTTCGATAAAACCCATTTCTCAATATTATACGGAATGTTCAAAAATCATTGTCACTTTTTTATAATTTCGGACAAAGATAACTCTGTCATGGTCTGAACAAATTGAAGTTCATTGAATTTCATTTAATTTCGGGGTTCCCCACATCTAACCTGAATAATTTTTCAGATATTGGCTTTTTTAAATAGTAGTTCTTATTTCAATGCATTCTTTGAATCAAGATAGCTTTGAAATTACATTTATTTGATTTGCTCACAGAATTCTCATTGACAGTTGTTATACGTCATCGAAAATATTTACTGTTCACTGAAATGAAGTTATCATTTACATTCATATTCTGACAGTAGTTCATTAGTTCAGTTAAATTTGTGTTTTGGGTTGAAAATTGAAGTAATGAAAGAAAGTTTGGTTATGGTAAGTGTGAGTGGGTCATCATAAACATACTGCAAGACAAAACTGTCAGGGACTGTTTAAAAAATCCAACAATATTGGGGGACAGTGCAACATAAAGAATTCGAACGAGTAAAGCCCATGAGGAATGAAGGAATATCTGTTATAAATAGGCCTCTTTCAGATGAATTTCACTAGTTCGGACTTCCATTGTCTACTATATGAAATGATTTGAAATCCCTGAAACAATTGAAAAAAGAAGAATTAAAAATGAATAGCTGAAAATAACAATTATATTAAGCAAAATAAACCTGAAACGAAATAATAGTGAAGTAAAATACAAGTAAAATAGAACAATTGAACAAAAAAAAAAGAAATGAAAAAAGAAAATAAAAATAAAAAGTTGAGAGATTTCAAGTCACGTTAGTTCACGACGTTTCGATTGTTAGTATCTACAATCGTCTTCGGGTGATGACTGGACTGATTCCTCCGAGAGATGACTATTTATAGGTCGTTCCAGTACTTTCACTTATCCCCGCTTTCCATTTTCTGCTTCACTGGTTCCGTGGGAGATGACCGTTTGGCGGGAGTTGACCATTTTATTTTTCGCTTGATGATGTGTTTCCATATGTTGCGTATTTCTACGCTGGCTTGGCTGTAAGCGGCTTCTTTGAATTTTCTCCTAAACCAATGTTCCTCTCTGTGCAAGATCTCAGCTTGGGACCACTCGATGTTGGGTTGATGGGTCCAAACATGGTCTGCTATTCCTGATTTGCTGGTTCAGATACTGTCCCGTATGAGTGGGTTTTCGGTATACGGGACAGTATCTGAACCACGAATCCAACCACCATCAATCAACTAAAAGAGGAATCATCAAGACTCTATTAGACCGTGCTTTCGGGCTCTGTAACACGAAGGTAGGTCTCGAGAAGGAACTAGACATCATCAAAAATGATCTTCAACAAAATGGCTACTCCAAAACGATGGTAGAAAAGACCTTGGCTGAAAGACAGCAGGAGCCTCACAAGGAAGAGAAACCGTCACAACCAGTGCTTGCACTTCCCTACATCAGAGGATTATCGGAGAGGATAAGAAGAATTGGTTCCAAGTACAACATCAGAACCTGCTTCAGATGCAGTGACACTATCCGTAGCAGCCTCACGAAAACCAGGCCACCAAACGCGGACTGCGATTCCAAGAATTGCATTTACCGGATACCCTGTGAGTGCGGAAAATCCTATATTGGTGAAACTAAGAGGCCATTGAATGTTCGCATTGACGAGCAGAAGAAACACATACAGCGAGGGGAAACCAGCAAATCAGGAATAGCAGACCATGTTTGGACCCATCAACACAACATCGAGTGGTCCCAAGCTGGGATCTTGCACAGAGAGGAACATTGGTTTAGGAGAAAATTCAAGGAAGCCGCTTACATGTTGTCCAACAACGTATTCAGCCAAGCCAGCGTAGAAATACGCAACATATGGAAACCCATCATCAAGCGAAAAATGGCCAACTCCCGCCAAACGGTCATCTCCCATGGAACCAGTGAAGCGGAAAATGGAAAACGGGGATAAGTGAAAGTACTCGAACGACCTATAAATAGTCATCTCTCGGAGCAATCAGTCCAGTCATCACCCAAAGACGATTGTAGATACTAACAATCGAAACGTCGTGAACTAACGTGACTTGGAATCTCTCCACTTTTTATTTTTATTTTCTTTTTTCATTGTATTGAAAAATACTTGTATTTTATTTCACTATTATCTCATTTCAGGTTTGTTTTGCTTAATATAATTGTTATTTTCAGCTATTCATTTTTAATTTTTCTTTTTTAGTTGTTTCATGGATTTCAAATCATTTTATATAGTAGACAATGGAAGTCCGAACTATTGAAACTCATTATGAAACATTGTTGATCACCTTCAAACAAACGCACATAGTTCTTGTTGAGCGACAGCTCGTTGTGCAATATTTACTACCATATTGATCGTGTCTACAGTTTGTTTTCCTTTTCGAAATCCAAACTGCTGATCTGACTACGGTACGTATTAGTTCTTCATTGAGTCGTGTAAGCAGGAGTTGCTCATATAGTTTACTTTCTGAATCAAGTGAGCATATTGGTCTAAATGACGAAGGATTATCTAGGGGTTTGTTGCCTTTCCTCAAAAGCACAAGCTTAGCTTTCTTCCATTCAATTGGAAAGTTTCCTTGCTTTGCTAGCTCATTGTAGAAAGATGGGGTATCATGCGGGTTTTGTAGGGCCACTGCTTTAATTATTTCTGGCGGGATATTTGATGGCCCAGGAGCCTTGTTGGTTTTCAGTTTCATGGAAGCATTAGGCAGTTCTTCCTTCGTAAAATTAATGAAACTCTCGTCTTTAGCACAGGTGAAACGGAATTTCTCATGGATGGAAAACAAGTGGTCTGTTACTTTCTTTATCTTATCAATATTCAAATTTAGTTTGGGAGGAAATCCCAGCATACCCTTCATCGCTATCTTATACCCATCGCCCCAAATGTCTCTATCTACTTCTTCACATAGTTTTTTCCAGCAGTCCCTTTTTGATTTTTTGATGGCATTCCTTAGTGGTGTTCTTTTGCTTTCCATATAATGATATCAATGAATTTAGTTTTCCATGAGCGTTAATCTCCTAACGTTTCTTGTATATTCTCTTCATTTCTGATGGCACTGTTTCCGTAGTAGTGCAATATCATTGTTCCACCAGTAATTTGGTTTCCTCAGACTACCACTCTTCTTTTTCGGCATCAACTTGTCTTTTTTTTATCGAAGGAGGAGAAGAAATCTTCATAGACTCTGTGCCAGATTCCTATCGACTAAAACCCCTCTCCCGTTGCTCAGCAATACATATCGGAAACCGCTCCCACATTACTTCGATACGTTTGCCCTAGGCAGTGTTTGAGTGAAACACTAAAAGTAAATTTAAAAACTATAGGACTTTTCATCATATTTTCGGCATTGAATATTGTGTTTGTTTCACGTGCATACAGAATTCTCGCATTTTCCCATCTTCTACTGACAAAAAGTGTGTGTTCTACGTCGTCGTCCGCATTGCAGTAAAGGCAATCTGGAGGCAATCTCTTCTACGGTTATACCTATAGGTACCTACGGAAACAACCGTGCCCCGACAGTGCCTGGGTGAGGTGATAGTCCACCTCTCCGTAGGTTCGATTCAACCAACTCTCAATCAACTCCATCAAATTTTCTCTAGCGATTCCCTTTGAGATGCCTGCATATTTCTCTTTTCTCTCGATGACTTGGAGCTCTATTGGTGGAATTCCAGTCTGGGACTGGGACGGGGAGTGTACTACTCCAGACAAAGTCTTTCTCTTGGAAGACCTTGGAAAACCAACATTGGGCATCAGATTGGCCAGCGCAAAAACTGTTCTTTCTGCCTTGAGGATACTTTGAAGCACGTGTTCTGCAAAGGTAGAGCTTCGTTTCAAGCCATACCCCAAGATAGTTATCAGCTTTGCTCAGTACTATCTCTGGGCCTTGCAGATCAAAAGTTATTGGTGCCAGTTTTCTCCTTTTAGTGAGCAATGCTGCTTCGGTTTTTTTTTCAGCTAAACTGAGAAGTCTACTTTCCATACAGTCTGCCACTAGCAACAGTGCTCTGTTTGCAGTGTTTATTAAAAGTTCTTCGTTTTTTTCTATCTATCTATTTATCTATACTAGTAACCACAAACATTCAACCGAATCCTACAAAAGAGACGAATATATTTGAAAATGCGACAATCCAACCCTGTAAGAACAAATTATATTCATTAATTCACTTACCGATCATCAAATGTTTAGTTGAGTGATAAGTGTATATGAGTAGAATAATAAATATGCTTTGATAACAGCAATAAACCACAGTCAGTCGTATTGAATTATTCCAACCATGGCTATGCGTGACCAAATTGTCTGTTGGGTTGGGAAATCTGTAGCCGAAGAAAACTTGAAGAACTATTCAATCGACATAACCGGAGGTACTGAGAATGATCAAGGCTACATGAGCGACATAGTGTTCGTGGAAACTAAGGGCACTACTAAGGACAACGAGCCAACAAGTTTGCATTTGGTGGTGAAGCATGCCAAAAACAACAACCACCTAAGGAAAGCCATGCCGATAGACGAGATATTCGAAAATGAAATATACATGTACCAAACGGTTTTTCCCGCTTTCTTGAAGTTCCAACGCGCCAAAAAGGCCACGGAGCTGTTCGACTGTACTCCCAGATGCCTCTACTCCTCCTCTTCTGGAAGTATGGAAGTCTTAGTTTTGGAAAACCTGAGAATGAAGGGGTACCAGCAATACGACAGGAAAAAACCCATGAATCTAGCGCATTGCAAGGCCGTTCTACAACGATATGGAATATTACACGCGGTTTCTTTTGCGCTGAGACAGCAAGACGCCAAAACCTTTGATGATTTGGTATCGAAACTAGGAGATCCAAATTCAACATTATTCAAATCTTCTAACATCGGCAAAGTTTACGATGATTCGTTTGTACTTGCCTTGGAAATGTTCGAGAAGAATGGCGATTCGGATATACACGAAAAACTCAGGAAACTATTGGGGAAAGGATGTAGTACAATGGTGGAGGAAGTACTCAGAGCGATGTATATTGAACCTCAATCTGTTATATCGCATGGGGATTGCTGGTGTAATAATTTTCTATTCAAATATGAGGTGAGTACTGTTGTTGTCTTAACGCTTTCATTCGCAAATATGGATCTCAACGAATACGTAAATCAGGCAATTTTCGGGAATCTTCTGGACTAGCCTTGTTTCTGATATTTCTTTTTGAATTGCGTGTTTCATTATAATTGAAATACGAAGCGAGGATTTTAATTGTATATACCGGGTGTCCCACATTTTATGTGACAGGCAATATCTGGTTTGTTGAAGGAGATACACAAAAATGTTTCATACAAAAGTTTTAGTAGTTCACGAGAGCTATATTTTGATAAATATACAGGGTTTTTGGTGTAGGTGCTACAGACCAAAATTCCATTTTTTAAAATAGAACGCCCTGTATATCATTACATATTCAGATGCTACGTTGAATTCTGATATTATTTCATGTTTGGTTTTTGAAATTCGGTTACGGCGTTGTTGAGTTATTGCACTTTTCCTTAAATATAAAGTTTCAAAAAACTTATTTACTCGTACACGAATCCAGTCTATATCTTTTATTAAATTGAACTAGACTACTACTGAATACAAACCATTATTCTCACCTCTACGATACGATATCGATATCAGTTGAATATAATATTGAAATTCTTGAGAATGTGACTAACTTGAGGGTGAATTGCTTTATATTGCACAATTTCATCAAGTAGCTTATGCTTGTTGATGCCATAGTAACAAATGTTGTTGAATTGTATCTACTTGTCAGTTCGATTCAGTGATTCTTTGCAAAACAGTAACTGTGTTCTTTGTGCGAAAACTCCAGTATGCCTTTCGCGTTTAGTCCAAGTGATTGCATTGATATGTTATTAATTTTTGGGGAATGTCAGAAAAACTGCCGTCAAGCACAACGTCTATACCAAGAACGTTTTTCAGACAGACCCATTCGACCCATTCCGTCACGAAAGACTTTTTCGAGAGTTGTAGAAAAATTGCGAACTGGTTCATTTCCTTCTACTATAAAGCATCGTCATCATACGAGATCTGTTAGAACTGAAGATTTAGAGATCAATGTGTTGGCTTATATTATTATTCATCCACAAGTTTCTATCCGTACTGTTGCAGAAGAAGTCGGTGTGAGTAAATGTTATATACAGAGAATTCTGAAAGAAAATAAATACCACCCATTCAAAATTCAGTTGATACAAGGTTTGAAACCCACGGACTTTGAACGACGACTTGAATTCATTGCTTGTATTCAGGTAATATTACATGAAAGTCCTAACATATTCAGTCAAATTTTGTGGAGCGATGAATCGCGATTCCACAATAATGGAGTTGTGAATCGACATAACAGTCACTATTGGTCTCAAGAAAATCCCCACTGGGTCCGCGAAAGTAATTTTCAAACTACTTGGGGTATTAATGTATGGTGTGGGTTGTTCAATGGCCGCATCATAGGACCTTACTTTTTCAATGAAAATCTCAATGGATTGCGATATTTACATTTTCTAGAGAATGATTTGATCCAGTTGATGGAAGATATTCCCATAGCAGAACGACAAGGAATTTGGTGGCAACAAGATGGTGCTCCTCCTCACAATTCACAGATTGTTACTGAATATCTGGATAGAACGTACCCAAATAGATGGATTGGTAATAAGGGTCCAATTCGGTGGCCGGCTCGTACCCCAGATTTATCTCCGCTTGATTTTTTCCTATGGGGTTATTTAAAAGATATTGTTTTCACTACTCCCCCTTTGAATGTGGATGATCTGAAAATGAAAATTCGACTAGCGTGCAGTGATATTACGCCTGATATTATAAGAGCGACTTGTACGAGAGAAGTGATTCGACGTTTCGAAGCCTGTATAATATCTAATGGGCATCACTTTGAACAAGTGTGCTGTTTTCAGCAAAGCAATATATTGGATTCTTGTTTCTTTCCAATGAGTTGTTGAAACTTTTACTAGCGTTGATGGTAAAAGTAGTTGAGAGATATCCATCGATGGCCACTTGCAGAGAACGTTCTTTTGGGAAGCTGGAGAGCCATACACAAAAATTATCGGACAAGTCATAGCATTGAAGTTTGGCCAGCAAACCCTCATACCATACACGGTCAAAGGTCTTAGAAATATCAAGCGCAACAGCTCTTGATTCTCCATGTTTCTCAATTGCGTTATTCCAAATATGGGTGACGTACGATAGAGAGTCGCCTGTTGATCTTTGTTTCCGAAAGCCATATTGATGATCGCTCAAGGAGTTGAAGCCTCCCAAATATTCAAGAATATGATGATTTACGGCTTTCTCCATGATTTTTGATATCACTGATAGCAAAACAACTGGTCTATAAATATTACTGGAGTTTTTTCCCAGCACCATACCGATACTTTAACATTTCGACACGTGTTTCGATCACGAGATCACGACACGTGTCGAGGTGTTAAAATAACGGTTTGGTGTTGAAGATGATCACTTGGTGATCAAAACACATGTCGAGGTGTTGAAATAACGGTTTAGTGTTGGTTGAAAAATCTGCAAAATATTGGTCCGAGTTTTATTTGCGCACTTTTTGAATACGATGACGGGCACTTCATCATGACCAGACGCCTTGTTGATATTGAGCTGTTTCAAAATTCACCTGACTAGACGTTGGCGTTGTCGAAAAGTAATTACCGACATTGTGGATTCTAGTGTGGAAATAGTGGGTGATGCCTTTCCCAGAGAATCAACTGTGGAGTGGGACGCAAATTATTCAACTAGTAGATTTGCTTTTTCTATGGCTTAAACATAAGAATAATTTCAACCGTAAGAGAGAGAGCTTGAACATCAACAAGACATGGATACTGGCACTTCATTGAAGGAATATTCTTCCAATAATTGGAGAAAAGTTCGGACCAATTAGGTAGAAGAGCAGTCGGCGTTACGACTCGTAGTCCCATTATAAGTATAAAACTACCAGGACATTTTTGTTTGCGCATTGCAGCAAGGTAGATCACTTTGACTGTTGCCACATCGCTTTTGATAATGTATGCCGCTGTAGCAGACGAAACGTAAAGTGTTAAAACCTGCAGACCACGGCTAATAAACCCGGAAACTTTGGATAATTTTTACAGACTCAATTGGTTGCTACTTTTGAGAAATATATCACCCGATTTTTGTATTTTTGTTGGGTATTCACCTGAGTAATGATTCTCCTTTGATTTTCAGGGAGGTGATTGTAACATCCCTTCGGGTGTATCAATTCTAGATTGGCAGTTTTCATCCCTGAGATCTCCAGTTTTTGATCTCTCGTACTTCATATATGCTGTTTGTTCCAAAACGGAACTGGAATCCTTCGAAGAGTTACTGCAAGTCTACTACAAATCCTTCGCTGCTCATTTGACTGACTTGGGAAGTGACCCAGAAGAAGTATTCCCATATGCTGACTTGAAGATACACTGGAAAAAATACTCCCTGTATGGATTCATACACATGATACCGGCACTTAGAGTTATTCTTTGTGACAAGGATAAAGCTCCTTCCCTCAACGACTGTGAAGAGGGCGCAGAGTTCGGGGATGTTTTCAAACTAGGATTATTGGGAGGGGAAGCTTTGGTGTATGATAGGTTGAAAGCAGTTGTTTCACATTATTTTGAGTTTCAAGAAAAAAATATTTGAGAAATGTACAGGAGGATAGGCTTTTCATTCAATGAATAGTTACATAAGATATTCTAAAGATGAGGTTTCAATCTAAATGGTATTTGTACACCTACGATCGCAAATATTGCAGATGTCGAAGGATTCGCTACTTTTCTCATTGAAAATTGATATGAAGAATTGTGATTTGAGGTTTTTCAGTTCAAAGAATGGATATTTTCATTAGCATCATTTTGAGTATATTTTTGTATTCACTGAATCTCCCATTTTGAGAATATAACGACTCTAGACCTAACGAAGGCATTTATTTATTTGTATCCAAACAGACCTAATGGTCTAATAACATGGATAAATATACAAATATATAATATTACAAATAATTTATATCAATGTACAAGACATACACATGAAAAAAAAAGTAAAAGTAAAACTGAACTTAACACTATGAAAAGATTTGGAAAAGCTGAATAAAAGCTAAATATGTATTTTATGTGGCCACCACATAAAATTTCACAATCACAACTTTAGTCCCAATAGAAATTCCAAATATTACATAAAATAGATAATAAAAATTTCCTTAGACTTCACTTGTTTGAAGAGTTAGAGATTTCTAAAGAACTTTCCAATAATGATCATTGTTTGAATACTCAAGTAAACTCAAACAGAGATTTCCTTCCCCTTCATAAAAGGATTATGAATTATTAATAAATCACATTTTACTAATACAATTTATTCAATATTTTTCCTCTACATAATTAATCAAATCCATAATGGATCACTCCTCAAGTTGGTACCATTATTTTAACATGACTCTTGACACATTCTGTCTCAAGTTGTCCTTCTTCATATGATACTTTGACTGAACCAAATGGCCCCAATCCAAAAATGTATTTTCTTGGCTATAAGCGTATTTTGTTTTATATAAGTGAAATATTACAAATGTGCAATGTACTTAATTTGATACTTCCTGTTGCCTGACAAGTGAGTAATCTTAAACAATTTTTCCAAATTTCTTAACCTTAAAGATTATTAAAAAAAATTTTACAACTTCAATTTTCACTAAACTTCCTTTTCAATTAAATCACTTACTTTCAGGTGAGCACTGATGATGACGAAAGTCGAAAGCGCTTTGCAAGAATTTTAAAAATTATACACTTCAATACAAAAAACCTCTTCGATTCATTAACACTATGATTTTTACAATATTAGTTTTAATTCAACAAATAAAAAAAATTATTTGAGTAGGTAGTAATTATAATCAGTTAGCATTATGATGATAAATTAATAATTTGTTTGATTATAATGTTTCTAAATATATTTTGAGTTATTGACCAATCTAGAATAATGAGTGTGTTATAATAATTTGCTAGTCGACACATGATTGCAATAGGTACTCTAGTAGTTCTATGTAAAGCAGGGATATTAAATAATAATAATAATAATAAATGCTTTTATTGAAAGGTTACTCAGTACAAGGGATACTGATCTAACCTAACAAATGGCAGAATTCAACGTCTGCGCATGACGAATCAAGGCAGAAATTGCTCTTCCATCCAACCAGAAAAGAAGAGCGCATTCTCCTTGGAGGCACATTAAATCGTAGTGAAGAAAGTAATATTGGTGAATTAGTTTTATTATTAATAATTTTAAACTAAAACATCAATATGTTAAGTTCTCTTCGATCTTCTAAGGATAGAATTTTTGAATTCATGTCTAAGATGGGTAGTTCTAACTACATTATAATCGAGATATACATAATTATTTTTATAATATTCAATCGCGTGTGTGAGAAATTACATGTTTATTGTTTCCATAAGAAAAGTATCAAGTATCTTCTTAAAAGAAGCCTGATGTTAATCACTCTCCAATTCAGGAGCCTCTCAAAATTGGTGAACCATAACACTCCATGAAAACAGATACCAAAAACAAAGCTTTCGAAGACCAACAACAGACAGTGCTGTTCCAATCTACATTGAACCTCATCAGTGGGGTTGAGCTGAACTTTAAATTCAACTATCCTCAAAGAACAATCCTGAGTTGAAGTAAACATGGACTTCTCGAAGAAGCAATCTATGATATTGTTGGAAAACTCAACCTCATTCAAGATAAACAAAGCTATCCAGAAAGGTATAACTCTCTCCCATTCTCTGCAACTTCCACAGGGCCAATTCTAGAGCTCCTGGCATCCCAGGAATAACTTCCATCCAAAATTTTTCAAGGGAGACCCAAGGGAAATAGCACAAATCAATACTTTTGATCTCGTTTGAAAGTGGTTTAGTGGTGAGTTTAGTTCTGATTAACATTGTCTAATATGATTCTACTATGATTCGGAATCTATGAAAAAACAAATAAAATAGCAAAATAGCTAAAATATTCATTATATGAAGCAATAAAACGTAAAATGAAAATACAATGAAACGAATGAGATAATCTAGATACACAATATTTAAAATGAATTGAAAAATAAAAAAGATTCTAGACCAAGTTAATTCACGACGTTTCGATTGTTAGTATCCACAAACATCTTCGAGTGATGACTGGACTATTTCTCCGAGGGATGACTATCTATAGGTCAATAAAGAGCTTCCATCTAGTTCCTATTCCCTTTCTCCGCTTCACCGGTTTAGCAAGAGTTTCCGCTTGATTGGTGGTTTCCATAAGTTACGTTTCTCTACGCTAGCTTGGCTGAATACGTCGTTGGACACCATATAAGCAATGTCTTTGAACTTCCTCTTGAACCAGTGTTCCTATCTATGGATGATCTTGATGTTATGTTGAGGAGTCCAAATATCCTCTGCTATTCCAGATTTGCTGGTTATTCCTCGCTGTGTATTTTTTTGTGCTCGACAATGTAGACTTTCAATGGCCTCTTAGTTTCACCGATATAGTATTCATCACACTGATAGGGTATACGGTAAATGCAATTCTTCGAATTGCAGTCCGCGTTTGGTGGCTTGGTTTTTATCAGTTTGCTACGGATGACGTTTCCGGATCTGAAATAGGTTCTGGCGTTGTACTTGGACCCAATCCTTCATATCTTTTCTGGCCATCTTCTGATGTTGGAAAGTACAAGTACTGGTTGTGACGGCTTCTCTTCTTTGCGAGGCTCTTGCTGTCATCTAGCCAAAGTCTGTTCCATCAACACTTTGGACAAACTATTTCGCTGGAGATCTTTTTTGATGATGACTAGTTTCTTATTGATTCTTAATTTTTTTTTTTGGTAGATTGATAGTGGTTGGATTCGTGTTTTAGATCCTGTCCCGTATGAGAGGGTTTTTGGTACACATATGTTTCCCATTCAGGAAAGATCCTCTTCACCAATACGTCTAAGAATGGTAATTCGAAATGTATCACTTTCTCCATTGTGGAAGTGACGGAAGGTCTTACGCTTTTGATGTGCTTCAGAAACATGTCCACTTCTGTATTCCCATGGTTCCATATTATGAAGGTGTCGTCAACGTGATTCAACCAGACTCGGGACTTTCTGTGGGCTTCTTCAAACTATATAACTGGTGAAAATGGCTATCCCATTGGCAATTCCACATCTTGCGTAAAGAATTTGTTCTTCAGTTGGAAATACCACGTACACAGCATCTTAGTAACTCCACGATCACTTCTATAGTTGAGTTATTCTAGGTCCTAGCTTCCTCTATATGATTTGAAGAGCTTTTTCAACAGGAACGTTGGTGTAGAGTAGGTGTAGAGGCTCTGTGACTTCGATGGCCTCTATTGATTCGACAAAATGCCTTGAATTCTTCACAAGAGATGAAGTACGTTCGTTATTGGCTTCCTTGCAATCGATGAAGTTAAACTTGCCAATTTGAAGAATCAGGTTTGGATTTGAACCGAAACTAGAAGTTCTTGGAGTTTATCTATATCTAAGCAAGCAAAACAATTCACTCACACTCTTGAAACGTCAAGAACATATGTAGCTTCTGATGTGATGCATGATTTTATTGTTGCTTCAGACGTGGGTTCCGGAAACCTTTAAAATTCATCGTACTACTTTAAGTTCTGTTTTACTCTAGCTGTGAATTCTTTTTTGATGTCACAAGCAAATTGAAGTTCGAAATTTCAGATATCACTTGACCTCATAGTTGAATTATCGTGTGACATTTTTATGTCACGTACCAGTACTTACATACATATGTACTGACGTACACAGTTACTCATTGTTTTCAGAACATCACAAGTCCTTGTTTTTGCCTTCGAATTGTTAATCCACACAATACATATTATTAGCTTCAATCAACCTAATTAATACAGTTAATTAAGACACATCGCAAACATCAGACATTGTTAATGGATTATTATATTTATAAAAAGACAATGAAAACTCTTCTAGCCCTTGACATAATGAACAATTATTTCTCTCAGATACCTGAGTTTTTGACGAATGAAGTATGTGATACACTTGATCCTTTAGTGTTAAACAACACATTGGCATTGATAAAATATTTGTTCTATCAGATAAAACATTAGTGAAGTCACAGAGCAATGGAAGCAATTATTGATAATTATTGGAACAGTGATATTATTACCTGTAGGAGATGATATCAAGTCTGAGGATCATATCGTTGATTCCGGATCTACCAAAATTAACTCCGAAATAACGAAACAAGATTGAACATTGAACGAAAAATTGATTTCAAGTGAGATAATATCCCACAACAGTTCGTATTTTAAGGATGAAGCACCACTGATGCAATATATTTTTATTTTTTGGAGTAAAACAGATGTGGAAACAGGGGTCAATCAAAAAGGGATTCCATCCAACTTTACTTTTTTGACATCTACTCACAGCACGAGAAATTCTCATTTATTTTATTAAGAAAACCCCCCATTTGGTGTGGTGAAAATAAAAAGGAAAATAGTGTATGTTCCTGTGTTATTTATTCAAATATTTAAGTAATACACTATTACTCAGTCGTAACTTCTACTCTACAATGACAATCACAAAATAGTCATAATTTCAACGAGAGGGATATACTTGTTGATGGATTGACAGCAACTTATCGATATTTGGCTTCAGTTTTGTTAGCAATAACCGCGATCTTTCTGTTCTGTGATATTCAATCTGCTCTTTTTTTTTGAAAACTTCGTAACTAAAACTTTTTTTGGCAAGATATGACGAGAAAAAAGCTATCAAAGTTTTTCTGGCAATTCCCCAGTTCAGGATATTTTTCGTGTATTTCTGCCTGCAGCAAAAATGTTTATTCATCATCTTTTAAATTTCACCTTCAGCTCCTCAGTAGTGCTAGTTTCGAGTATGTATAACAAATATGCAGATGAGTACTTACTTTTTCCGACACTAGCAAACACTAACATCGATTCACTTTACTTTAGGTACTTTTCATTTCGAAATTCCGGAAACAAATTTATAACGTTCATCGTTGGTTTTTGTACTTATTTAATATTTATATTAGGTTTGGTTAGGTTAGGTTAGGTTAGGTTAGGTTAGGTTAGGTTAGGTTAGGTTGCACAAGCGTTGTGGACGGCGGCGCTTTGCAAGTCTCGACAGGTTGTACTGAATATGGAATTTGCAAATTTTCACATGAAGCAGTCGCTGAGGTTCTTAAAATATCATCTGCCTACATTGATAGGTTAAGTAAAGCCAACATTTTAGTTCTTCACTATCGAAACCAGATAAATTCTAATGGATCCCCGCTTACGAATTGTGAATCCTCATTTTTTGGCTACGCCAACGTAGACCCCCGTCGAGTTTCTCGTGGACCCCTTGGGGTCCATCTGGATCACTTTGGGAATCACTGGAGTACATGATACTTTATTGAGTGGAAAATGGATTGAAAGATTCAATTGCGTATATACCTACGGGGTTAAATATATATGAAAAATCGTCACTAAACTCAAAAAATATAGAAAATTTGTTGAAATTCAAGAAAGAGCTGAAAAAACTTTTTGACGATAAAATAGTTAAGGCTTTCGCCGCCAAGGTTTTCGATGTTTCCGGGTTTGAAGGCCGTGGCTTTTTGGAATTTCTTCATGACGTTTCGCTAGCGCGACTCACTAGCTTCCTCAGAGGTTTATACTAACTGAGTTGATATCTTAGAGTTAATACCATCGGAGATATTAACTCAGTATGTATAAACCTCTGAGGAAGCTAGCCAGCGAAACGTCAGGAAGAAATTCCAAAAATTCCCGGCCTTCAAACCCGGAAAATAGTGACACTGAAACTTCTTGATAGTAATAGTATATTATACAATCACCATGAGAACGAAGTGTATCATTTGGGTGGGAAAAAACTATTTCTCATGAGTTATATTGTATCTGAGTAATCTAGTCTTTTATTTTTCTGGAGACGCATGTAGGAAAGAAAAAAGGCAACAGTTTTTTATATTACATGCTAATTATTCCTAAGATCACAATAATTCTTTCTTTAGATCATTATTCTAATTGCTAACCCCACGAGTGGTATCAAATATGCAATAAAGCCATCAAGTGTAATCTTAACTGACGAACTGAAGACTAGTGGTTGGAACAAAGCTTTATCTTCTCTGTAAGTTGTCCAACCTATAACCCTCTCTTCGCGGTTTTTATTTTCCAGCCATTCCAGTAGAGGCTCAAAGTATTCCAGCATGGCGTCTGATGATATTTTGTCTGTTTCGCCTCTCGTGAGGGTCCTGATTACGTCTCTCCAGTGCTTTGACTTTCCAACTCTCAGAATGTCGCTGAAAATGAATATTGAAAAAAAAATTAAAAATATCGCTATTATCTCAATTCCGACTGGATATTCATCACAAATCATGCATATAAAATAGTTACATGGTGAGCACGTTGAAACGTGAGAACTCAGTAGCACTTGTGCTAACTAAGTTGAACTTCGCCTTCTGTTATGTCAGCAACTAGCTCTCTAAGTTATTTAAATATTTGTATGTAACTACAGCTGGGTCACAATAAAGACGATTATTATTATTATTATTATTATTATTAATATGTGAACAATTTTAGAAACGTTTAGTGAGTACCTACTTAGATATTCTTTACATCAGAAAAACTTCAGGAAAACCTTTTATCACATTATCAGTTCACCAGGGTTCGGTGATTACATGTGACGTCACAACTATCATGTGAAAAGTATTGGTGTTTTGAACGAAATGTGAATTTAACGATTTCAAAAGTTATAGTAATATTAGGAAAAATATGCATACTTTGGACGTTTTCCCAACTACAGTATGGTCTGGTGTCTGGATAGTTTATTACAAATCACACAGTTGGTTTGTGGCAGGGGCGTTATTTAAACCTAAGGTGGTCCACAAAAACACACAGAATAATTAGGCCAACATTTTACTTCCGAAAGGATATTGAAAACCACAAGCATGGTTTTCAAATTGAGAAGTTTACAGTTTAATGACACTATATAACATTGTGAAGGAAATCACCCAGACCGTCTGTAGTCAACAAATTGTGGAAATCCAATTTCTCTCGCTCATAAATAAACCGTCTATCATTCCAAAAAACCCACTGCCCCCACACACTAGAATTTCTATATTTTTCTCGGCGCACGTTTCATTAACCAAGATGACGTCATCAGGAAATGAACTATACACATAATAAAGACAATATATTATACAGCTGAATTATTCTTTTACTCCACATCGATGGAATGCGCGTCGTAAAGAAAATTCTGGTCTTCGAGTTTCCATCAAAACAGCGATCTTATGCGGAACGTAGTAGACTACTGGTTGACTATGAAACTCATAGCATTCTGAAAATGACGTTCGAAGTACACAATGAATTGCCATTGTTAGACGTATTGGTGAAGAGGACCGATACTAAGTGGGAAACATCTGTATACCGAAAACCCACTCACACGGGACAGTATCTGAACCACGAATCAAACCACCATCAATCGACAAAAAGAGGAATCATCAAAACTTTTTTAGACCGTGCCTTGGACTTTGTAATACGAAGGAGAGTCTCGAGAAGAAACAAGACATCATCAAAAATGATCTTCAACGAAATGTCTACTCCAAAGCGATGGTGGAACAGATATTGCCACCAAACGCGAACTGCGATTCCAAGAATTGCATTTACTGGATACCCTATGAGTGCAGAAAATCCTAAATCGGTTAAATTAAGAGGTCATTTATTGTCCGCATTGCCAAGCACCAGAAACACACACAGCAAGGAAAAACCAGCAAATCAGGAATAGCAGAGCATGTTTAGATCCATCAACATAACATCGAGTGGTTCCAAGCTGATATCATACACAAAGAGGAACATTGGTTTAAATGAAAATTCAAAGAAGCCGCATACATGTTGTCAAACAATGTATTTAGCCAAACTAGCATAGAGATACACAACATATGGAAACCCATCATCAAGCGAAAAATGGCCAACTCCCGCCAAAACGGCCATCTCCCACTAAACCAGTGAAGCGGAAAAAGAAAAGCAGAGATAGGTAAAAGTACTCAAATGACCTATAAATAGTCAGCTCTTGAAGGAATCAGTCCAGTCATCACCCGATGACGATTGTGGATACTAACAATCGAAACGTCGTGAACTAACTTGGCTTGTTTATTTTACTGTTTGTATCTTTATATCTTTTTGTATTTTTGTATCTTTATTTTTGTTCAATTTGTTTCATTTTTTACTTGTATTTCATTTCACTATTATTTCATTTCAGGTTTTTTTTGTTGCTTAATATAATTGTTATTTTCAGCTATTTGTTTATAATCTTCTTTGATTTTTTTATTCTTTTCTAGTTCTTTCAGGGATTCCAAATCATTTTATATAATATCAGACAATGGGAGTCCGAACTGATGTAATTCACGTTCGATTTGATGTCTCTATAGTTAACTACGACCTGATCTTCCAGATCTTCTGGGAGAACTAGAAACTGAAAGCACGAAGTGGTTGGTTCACAGATGAATACCTTCAAGTTATCATGCAGGTGTATACATTCGCAGACCCAGGATGCACATATCAATCTGCCTAGGGTTCTACGCGATCGTATTTATGGTGGACCTGCGGCATGGATATATATGTGGAGATATTGGCGAAAACCAATCAATGAAGATATTCTTGAATAGCCTATTGAATTGTCAAACAAACTCTTTTTAACGAAAATATTGGAAACATTGTCTCTGTTCCGGCTACAAAAACCTGTAAGGTATTGAGCTGCTGACTCTCTCTCTCTCTCTCTCAAAGGAAGGAGCTGCACTGCAAGCAGGCCACAACCTGCAGATTACATCGCTTCTAGTTTTGTTGAAGAAATACTCAATACCTGGACTAAGAAGAATTTCTGACAAATTCAACCAGGACACGCCTGTTGTAAGGCCATATATACAACCTTGAAGAATATTACCAAATAATTATTAGATTACGGAAGGAATTACCCACGTCATCCAACTGGCAACTCATTTTTCTCTGACCATCATATGAAGAGACTGCCGTCTCTGGTTGTATTTGTTTGGAAGATGATGAAGCAGCAAAGCGGATACTTTGTAAGGAATCAAGCTTGCACTGTTTTCCAGAGATTTCTTCATGGCTTTTGTACTGAAAGGTTATTCAGAAAATGAACCAACTAAATTGGAGTTGAATATTGGAGTTTGAATTGGTGTGATTTTCTGTAATTCCTCATAGGTTATATAGAGGGGTTTGAAAGACCCACCCATTTGGAAACTAACCTAACAACTTTGTGACCTGGAAATCCCAGCTCTGCTACATATTTTGATTGTAACAAGCCTACCTAATTACTAGTGAGAACAGTAGAAATACAAGGCTGAAGGTGTCTCAATTTTTGCACATAACCTCAAATTTGTTTTTGCATAAGAGTGTGTGTGTCAGAGCGAGAGGACGGATTTTCATAAGAGCGTGTGTGTAGAATCACCTTCAAACAAATGAGAGGGGTCGGTTTGTCATACGAGTGTGAGAAAGATGGAGATGGTATCGAGCTGATCCGTTTCAAAGATAACAAATGTTTGGCAGCGCAAACAGTTCGGTGTTGTCAGATGTAAAATAAAGCATTGTTTATGGGGGCGATGTGGCTTATAAGGCGTTACCGGTTTCTTGAAACTAAGCGTAGGAAAAATGACGTCGTCAACGGCGATGATTAGCAGGGTCTAATGTTTCAACGTGCGATCCGACATGTTAGAAGGGCAGTAAGAGCTGTTCAAGTTGGCGCTGTTGGAGCTGTTAAAATTAAGCGTAATAGCGACACAGTTGAATTATAAAAATAATGGTATAATAATAATGAAGGAAAAATCGGCTAGTTTAACGGGGTTCTATCGTTTTAGCGTGCGATCCAACATACCACAAGGACACTGAGCAGCATTTTCGTTAACCAAGTTAGCATCATCAGGAGAAGTTAATCAAGATGAATGTAACGGAAAAATTCTACAGGGTGCCTCAAAACAAATCGTTTGAGAAAAAAAACGGTAACGAAGGTCTAACGTTTCAACGTGTGATCCAACGTGTCAGAAAAACACTGAGCAGCATCTTCTTCAACCAAGTTCACATCATCAGGAGAAGTGGACCAAGAAGATTTTTTAATTTTGCTTAACTCTGACCTATTTAATCGGTGATCTAAATAAAAACTTTCAGTATCAACCGGAATGTCTTCGAAAGAGTATAAACGCAAATTAGAAGAATTCGAAGAGAAATTGTTCATTTTATTATAGATTCCCTAACTTACATCAGCACTCTTCCCGCTTCCCTCGATCTGTACACATCACAAGTATGCAGGGACCCACTGTGTCCACTTGCCTGGCACATCTGCTTGTAGATCTGGAACTCCAGAAGCAAAGCCACGTAGTACCTCAGATAGTGCATGTCAGCAGGAATATGCCGCTTGGAAGCTGCATCGAAATGGGCTTCAGATCTTGGTATGGGAGGAACGACTCCTTGGTACCTCAACCTCAAATCCCACCAGTCGGAATTCATTTTCGTTACGCCGTAGTCAAAGATCTGGTACCTCCACTGAAAATGGAAAAACAATTGTTCGTGATGTTCCCAACGGTTGAGTAGCTGGAATGCCGAGTTTTTTGATTTTTATGATGATTTTGTGGATAGAGAGAGTATTGATGTTTGGGAAATTAATCTTCTGTTAATCCTCAAGATGAGATTATACTCGTAAGTCATAGAGAAGTAATTGAATATCCATCTCAACTACTCAGTCGTTAGCTCATTGCGGTTGTTGATTTTTGGTAATTTAATGAAATAATGACGCATTTTAACAGAATATTCACGATATCGAAACAGAAGAGATACCTGTTCTACCAAATAGGCGAAAGGGGTATAGGCAACCTTCTTTAAAGCCATCAGCATTAGAAAATTGATGTTGGTCTCGTATTTGTCCGTATTATTGTTGAAAAGTCCAACTCTCCACAGATGTTTCGGGTTGAACACAGAAAGAACTATGGCGTTTGCAACCCCCTCGTGGAATCCTAGAAAAGTAAGGTAGTATATGAAGTGTTCATTGGACACGCGGCAAACTTTCAAGGACTTTCCTCTGGACTATACTAAGAATATTTTATCCTTTAGTGGTTTTCGAAATTTACAGCTACAGTTACAAATGGAGTTTCTCATTAACTGACAAACTTTTTCAAAGGTACCAGGGTCGTACCTCAATGAGTCAACCCAGGGGTTGTCTTCAATCTTCCATAATCTGCACTAGAGTAGAATAAACTATTGGTTCAATGCTTGGTAATCACAATTTAGTGCGCTAAATTTTTATTTCAGATAAATTTAATAAATTGACATATAAATGTATTCAATTTTTCAAGATTTCCACGTGTGCGCCACCTTCACCTAACTTTGACTGAAACACATTTTTTACTTCAGGACTATGCAAACCATACATTTCGAAGATGTATCAGCTGGCCGCCTGAAAATTCAGCTGAGGCTTGAAATGTATGGAATACTCTCAAAATAGTCCAGAAAATAACCTCTATACACTATGAATACATTATTGTCTGCACACTCAGTTAGTTACTGACTCACCTGGATTAGCCCCATCTCTGTATAGAAACGGTTGATCGGCGTAGTACAAGTAATACTCAATATGCGACATCTCATGGTGAATAGTTATGAGATTTTTCATGTCAACTTCTGTACATTGCTTGATCCTAAAAGCCAAATATGTACTATACTGTTATTAGATAGTATCGAGCAACAGCTTGTGTTGGAAAGCCAGACGAAACTTTCCACTGCTTTGAATCTCTTCTCACCTGAAATCTATATTGTTGCAAAAGTCCCACGCACTCGCAGAACATTGAACCTTCCTCCCGTTGGGGCGTTCCATCATCGAGTGCCTCCAAAATTCTGGGGGCATGGGTTTCAAACCCATCGAGGTGAAGAACTCCTCTGCCATCTGGAACATTCTGAAAAAAGTCGTTGGAATTGACACTGCCTCAGGTGAACTTGATTTTCTCTTCACAGTACCTCAAGGGAGTGAAGCCTTGCCTCAGTATTTCGTCGGTAACATCCATATTGGAAAACTGGGGATAGGGGAGTACTATATCAGCTATATTGATCCACTCTTGGGCCCATAAGTTCCCTAGAATATGAGCAGGCAGTGGACCGTCGGGCCTGACAACCTTATTCCCGTATTGCTTGATCAGCTGCCTTCTGACGTAAGTTAGTAATTGTTTGTACAATGGCTGCAGTTTGTGGAGGGATTGGGCCAGTTCGTTCTCGAAATTGAGGTCTTCGTAGATGTATCTCATTTCTTCACCCGCATCCAGAAAGCCTTAAAAATGTCATTGGTTATGGAGAAATGAAAATACTGGCTTTTGAAGTTATTTTAGTAAACTGTGAGCTAAACCACCAATTTTTCTTAGTCATAAGTTTGAGACGACATAATAAATATCACATATGAATATCTAATATGTCTAAAATGAGAGGCTTACACTCGTTGTATGGTATGTTGGAGAACATACTCTTTACATCGAATGAATATGGCGTGGTTTGGTTCCTTATGTTTTCTACTAAAGTCAGTAATTTTTTAATGCTGTGAGGGTGGAAGAAATTGGTAATATTTTTGAACAACTTGTTGACGTATTCCCAGTTCTCTTACCGGACTATTAAAATACGAAACTACCTTATCCTGAATTGAAGGGGTTATATTTTATGTGTTTTTATCAGGCTATATAGTTTAGGGCAAGAGGGGTTCATGTTGGTGATTCTCCGTTTCTCTGATCTCGTGAAAATGACTTTAGCATCTAAGAGGAAATTCTTCAGTTCATTTTGACTATTTTTTGTTGGGTCTTCCTTGATGACAGTAAGGTTTTCATTTCAAATGACTGACTCAATTTTCTGAACATATTTTTCTCGTTCAAGGATAACGATGGCATACGATTTATCAGCTTTCGTGAAAACAAGATCATTATTTCTTATTTTTTGTTGTATAGTTTTTATTATGCCTGTTTCCCTACTGTTTGATGAAGAGAATGGATGGTTCTGAATTACTTCAATTATTTATCTTGTATGCCCCTATATCTCTATTATCTGTCTGTTTCAATGCAATAGCTGTATCTGTTATAAACGTATCCAAACTATTTTTATTAATTATTGTTGGTGTATATTTTGGCCCCTTGGACATTGTTGGAATTTCCTCTTTGTTAAATTCTACCTTGATCAAGTTAATGATTCTTTCGCTGAACTGGATATCTGGTTCGACTGATTCGCTGTGCATGATATGTTGTTGTTTCTGTTTTAGTTCCTTAAGTTTCTTGAGTTGAGTTTGGTACTTCCGGTATATGAAATCACTAATTGTAGACCTAACTTGGACATGACAAATGTCCAATTTTATCTGGTGGAGTTGAAAAGTAAGTTCAGAGTGTAGTACCTTCAAGTAAAGTGGCAGGATACCCCTTTTTGAGAACAGTGTCCTACACTCTTCCTTTAGAAAGATCACTTCGTGCCTTCATTATCGCTTTTTCCGCTGCTGGTAACCAGGACAAAAACACCAGCATTACAAACTCAATTATTTAGAATCCTTGGAAATTCACAAGCATAAACATTGCGGGTGCAAAATGTTAAATGATCAAATCGATTTACTTTATTCACCGGTTTTTAAATTGGCACATCCGCATTGTGAACTGTAAATTCAGGTACTCAATCAAGCCAAGTCCCTCTATTCGTATCTACAGAGGTTGTATATAAGGCTAATGTAATGAATCATTGTTAGTTCATTGTATAAGTTTGAAAATGTCCGTATAGTTACAAATACGATTGGTATAAAGAACATAGAAAGTTTTATTCCCCATTTTTAATTATTATTTTTTGTTATTTTCAATTATTTTCAATTTTCATTTCAAAGACTTTAACACTCGAACTAGAAATTTGTTTAGGTTTATACCGTTCTTCCTAGCGGCCTGATTTGCCAGATCGACATATCGCATAAACTTATTCTTCATCGGAGGTCCGATTTTGTCGTGCCATTCCCTCCATATATAAGCCAATTCCTTAGGATTTCTGGATCTTGCCATGATCATCTGAACATCATCAGCGTCTAAATCACAATAACTTACTTCATTGGTGGCTACCTTTGGTGCGTACGAGCAAATTTTGATATTTGCATAAATATCTTTCATCTCGGATATCAAATGGTATATCTGAAAAAAAAAACGATAGAAAAACCATAGAAAATGGAGTTCAAGAGTGAGTTGCATGTCGAAAATATTTCTCAAGAACTATATTAATAAAATTTCAGCAGGATATTTCGAAATTCATGAGATGATGTTTCAAAGAGGATGCGAATATACAAAATATATCCTTTGGATGTTCGCTGAATATTCAAAGAATGTATTTTTTTGCACTGTCAATGATTTGAATCATACAAAATCATAGGAAAATTTGAAATTTGTTTCGAATGATTTTTGACGAATTTTCGAATGAAATATACTTTCAATGTTCCTCTAATATTCTTCAAATTATAATATATATAAATTACGTGTCACGTTGTTTGTCCGCGATGGACTCCTAAACTACTTAACCGATTTTGATAAAATGTGCACAACGTGTGCAGTTTGATCCAACTTGAAAGATAGGATAGCTTACATCCTAATTTATAGTCGCAATATTGTTTTATTGGAAATCATTTGTCTATTATTCGACATTCACAATTATCTGTTAACTTCAAACGATTTTAACAGATGGCGATATCTATTGACTGGATTGAGCAAGTAATCAATAGATGACGCTGCTATGTTAAACCTACAAACGTCTCATAGAAGCTACAATTCAATAGTATAACCACCACGTGTTGTTGAGGCTGAAGTATAAGTTAAATTTATTTTGTAGTAAACGAAATACCGTAAAATTCACTAGTTTTTACTTTTTAAATTTTTGGTGTTAGCATAGCCGGCCACCATCGGAAACATCACCGGAAATATTCTTGAAGCAACCATTTTAGCTGGGAAGTTTAAACGAAAAGTGGTTCTGTTGCCACGTATTCCAATGATACCGTCAGATTCTACCATACCCTTCAGAAGGCTACAGTTTCCAATTCGTTTAGCTTTTGCCATATCTATAAATAAGTCTCAAGGTCAAACAAAGTCCACTTTTGGTTTAGATTTGGAAAATCCATGTTTTTCTTCGATTCTATTTGTATTAGCTAAAGACAGGCTAACCAAAAATATTCTGCATCGATTAGTGCTGAATTGAATTGAACTTAAAAGTATTTATAATTCAAAATAATGAATATTATTGTTGAAGATTTAAGACTATCTGCCCTGTCTACCTCATTCATAAGTTTAGGTGTCATATGTTATTTACTAACAACTTTGTAATATACTCATTTGTTACAAAATTGAATAAATATGATAATACATTTTGAAATTGATTTAAAATGAATTCTTTTCTATTGATTTTTGCTTAATATGAACTGTACGAAAATTTTAATCAATCGTGTTCTAATCCGAATCCAGTGGATTTTCATACCAGCTTTAACGTTTCCGTCTTCGTTCGTAAATAATAATTTCATTGTACTAAGAGTGGTTACGGTAGTAGAAAATCTGTCATGGAGGTCGCCATATTTTTTTACAATTGGCATCTATTTAAAAAAGCATGGTGGTCCCCGTGACTGATGTTCTCCTACCGTTCCTCTTAAATAGTTTACTACAGTGTAATATAACAAAAACCTCAGCCACTGCAACGCGTGGCCGGGTCTGCTAGTATATTTTATATTTCTCTTCAATGTAAATTTTCAAAATTACAACATTCTGGATATCCTCTCCTTCATCATATCATATCATATCTCATTCTAATGTTTCGATTTTCTCAGTATATTTTTCAGAAACTCATAGCTCGAGTGGTTTTTCGGTGGTTCAAAACGTATTGGAAAGGTTGGCGAAAACCCACCAAAAAAAAAAGACTATGATTAGTGTATGGTGGTCAGCGGCTGGTGTGATTCACTATAACTATCTGAAACCGGGACAAACCATCACTGCAGGGTTCTCTTGTGAGGAAATCGACCACCAAAAAGCAGCAGCCGGCACTGTTCAACATAACAGGACCGATCCTGCTCGACGACAACGTCCGTCCGCACGTTTCACGAATGACCGTCCGAATTGAGCGTTGAAGTTCTGCTTCACCAACCATACTCTCCAAATCTCTCACCAACCGACTACCATCTTTTCGAGTATAGTTTATTGTAGACTCATGAAAAAGGAAAAAACCTAATATCATTATGTATATGAAAATCTAGAAACGGTTACTTAGAATGAGTTTTATAGATGTTTCAAATATCTTTTCACACGGAATTTGAATATGTGACATATCATTCTTCGATGATATCTCAATGAAAATATGTTATTAAAGTTAATGAAATGATTCCGTATGAACTGAAACGATTTTTAACTGACCTCGTTGTACTTCTCATCGGACAAACTAGCCCTGGTATCAACGGTCAATAACTTCAATTGTCGTCTGACCACAGGATCTGGTATCGCAGCCCAGTCGAAGATGGATGCTTTCTTCCAAGTCAGTTTGTCAAATTTTGCCTTCAGCGTTTGTTCTTCAACCATCTTCCTCTTGAGAAGATCCGTCATGTTGGTGGAATACTGCCACTGAGCGGCATTTACCCTGAAGCACATTTCAGAAGCTTCTGAGTCGTATTCTCTGAGGAACTGAATAGCTTCATTCACATTCGTGTTACCTGCCTGAAATGTGAGAAGATGTAATTATGCAGAGTGAAAATTCTGTTGAAAACTCCTGAAAACAAGCATTATGAGCACATCAAGTTATCAAGTTTGGTACTGAATAGGATGATCAACGCTTGGTTCAAGCGGCAAAAACAATTTCCGAGTCTTTTTTTTCTTTGTCTTTCGAAAACTCAACTTTGAATCTCATTGTACTATTTTCCTGGACCGTTTCCCTTTTATGTAATCCCAAGTGGGTTAAGTTGATGAATAGAAATAAATGATTGAGAATTAGAAGCTGAATGCTCTTAGACTGAATAATTTAGGAGGGTGCCTGGTTTTTGAACTATTTTTACATCCAATATTGACGGATAAAACATTGAAAAGTTGGGAAGTTCAGTGTTTTTAACTAACGTTCATCAGTAAATTTATTTATTTGTTTATTTATTTATTTACACCCAGGTTACACCCAATTACAGAACAGGGATATGAGTCAAATCACAATACTGTAACAAATTAAAGAATTAACTGTCTTAAACAAATTTATTTCTAACAATATTTCACTATCACAACTAATTTATATACAACACTTAGTAACTAACGCTTAATTTATCTTCACGGTTAGAATTCTTTCTTTAAACGCACGATTCACTTTCTCGATACAGACTCCCTCTCTGAGCGAGGAATTGACCTTTTATATTGGTAACGAACGTTTTAGACACCTCTAGCGGTTTCGGTACTCATCTATTGTTTTCGTGGCGATTCATCGATCGCATTCCTTTCGCGGTGAGTCATATGTTTGGTGTCTGAGATAACGGTCAGGGCCGGCTTCAGATTCATTACAATACAATTACAATAAGTTTTAAGGTAAAAACAATACATATAGAATTAGCTGAAGTAACAAGACCTAATCTCAGAGATGGAACATTGAAAAATGTCGAGCTGACAAATTGCAGAATTGTATTTGACTCAAATGTTATGCAGAGGTGAACGTTCCAGAATATTTGTACGTGGTGTTGGCAGATAAAAAGGATTAATCACTTTAGAGGTTGGTCTAGGTACATTGAAATTAAGTTTTTGCAAAATATGTGGGTCAATAATTAAATTATTTACCAGTTTAAAAAGAAAAATTTTGGGGTAAAAATCATGACTATCCATAGCATGTCTAGCTAACAATGCATCATGGGGAAATCCAATTGGTGGAGAAATCTTTGGAGATTCGTGCAATAAATCCATACATTCTGTTTGCAGCAGAGTGAAGGAAAGTTTTGTGTCAAAGGTAACACCTAGATCGGTGAATGTGAGAGGCCGTTGAAGTGGAATATGGTTTATTAAATATTGATATGAAAATGGAGGAGTTTTTAGTGTGTACGTCATTACATTACATTAACTCGCGCTTAAAGGAAGATTGTTGCGAAAACACCATTGCTCAACACGTTTCAAATTGAGGGAGAGTTGAAGACAGTCCTCGATGCCATTGATCTCACAATATAATTTCAGGTCATCCGCGTATATCAAACAGTTGATGTCAATGGCCTCAACTATGTCGTTTATGAAGGCGTTGAAGAGAAGGGGACCTAGGTTGCTTCCTTGTGGAACACCCGAGGTACCTGCATGTTCCACAGACTTGAAGCCATTGAATATAATATATAACACTGACGCCTGTCAGTGAAGTATGATACAAAAAGTTATATCAGGGTCAGAGCCGTACCTGTACAATTTCGATAGATGAAGATTTCATTTTGGTGAAGTTACATATTATTGAGATAGGTATATAATTATGTCTGGAGCAAGTCATAATGAATTATTGTAACAGTTACGTTAACTCAATAAAGGTGTTATACATGTGGAAATGAAAAAAATATATAACAGACAAAATTAGTGATTGTGTGGTATGGCTGACGTTGACTATAATTTTCAGAATGCTCCAGGTTATCACTGACAAAGTAGAAGTAACCACCAGAAAGCAATTTTCCAATAGAATTGGAAAGTTGTTCCAAAGATTATAACCCGAATATTTTTTTGGGATTTTGCTGAATCGTATTATTTGTACGAACCTCTTCAAGATTTCTAGTATGGTATTTACGTGCTTGAGCACGTCATATGTGTTGGGGTCAAAGAACGAAGATCCAACGGGGTAAATTTCGCTCTTACACTACACATGATCCCAAAAGAGGATAATATCTTCAAAGTAGAAGCTGGAATAAAGGAATACCGACCTCAGTTGTGGAGAAAATCCGCATCGAGACAACGTTGATTCTGCAAGGTGCAAAACCTTCTGAGTCCAATACGAAACGTGAGTGAGAAAGAGTATCCTGAAAAGCTCTGAACAATGATGAGAATATCCTGATCCTACGACAAAGAAAATGCCTCCGTTGTGATGAAAAAGCACGACTACAGAAAAAAGATAGTTAACCTGCTTGACTCCTAAACATATAACGTGCTCAAGTGAAATACGATCAACTGCGTCTTGAGAAAGACCAAAAGCTGATTCGTGTTCAATCAACCACGATGTCATCAATCAACCACGATGACAAGAGAGATTTACGTTACAGAAAATCGAGGCAATACCACCTCGTTTGTATGCTTTACCGAAAATTCACAAGCCGGGTGTCTCACTAGCACCAATCTTTAGTGCCATAGGATCTCCGACATAGGAGATCGGGTCTGCTACAGCTACTGGTGAGGACAACAAATTCATTCGTCAGATACTCAGCTGATTCTATTTAGAAGATTCGAAACTGATGGTGTTTCCGGATCTGGAACAGGTTCTGATATTGTACTTGAACCCAATTCTTCTTATCCTTTCTGACAATCCTCTGACGTAGGGAAGGGCAAGTATTGGCTGTGACGGCTTCTCTTCCATGTGGAGCTCCTGCTGTCTTCTAACCAAAATCTTTCCACCTCCACTTTGGAGTAACCATTGTGCTGAAGATCTTCTTTAATGATGCCTAGTTACTTCTCCAGATCTCCCTTCGTATAACAGAGCACTAGAGTCTTGATGATTCCTCTTTTGTTAGATTGATGGTGGTTGGATTCGTGATTCAGATACTGTCCCGTATGAGTGGGTTTTCGGTATACAGATGTTTCCCACTTAGTATCGGTCCTCTTCACCAATACGTCTAAGAATGGCAATTCGTTGTGGATTTCCTGCTCCATTGAAAGTGTGATGGAAGGTTTTAGCTTGTTGATGTGCTTCAAAAAGGTGTTCAGTTCTGTATTCTAATGGTTCCATGCTATGAGTTGACACAGTTGAGTTTTTTGCTTACTTTGATTTTATTGTATTCATTGCTCAATATGATTGTTATTTTTGGCTATTCACTTTTATTTTTATTCATATTCATTCATATTTGACAATGGAAGTCCACTAGTAAAATTCATCACGAAACATTGTCAACCACTTGCAAAATCAGTTGATTTAGTTGAATTCAATTTTTCAGTTTTTATTTCACTAGACAGTTCTGGATAGATATCCTCGTTCTTTTTCTAAAAGTGTCTGTTTATGAATAAATCAACGGAAGAGCAATAAGACCAAAACGATTTTTTTTTGTAACTTTTATATGTTCACTCTATATCCACCCGAACATTGTCAAATAGGTTAACAATGAATGAGTGTGCTGTGCTGTAAGCGGTATCCATGCCTCGTTAATGTAGGAAATTTCACTGAATACTCTCCCTCTTCTGGTTTCATATGAATGATTATAGGTCAGCACGCGTTCCATTGTTTAGCTCTAAATACCGTGTCAAAACAAACTGCGCCTCTTCTAACAGTTAAACATCGTGAATGTGTCTCTCACTAGAAAAAATATTGAGAACCCAGGTTGTGGACGACAAATTAATTTCGCTATGTTCAAAAAATACCTCTATATTTTGCTACAAATTGCGAGTTTGTGTCAATCAACCATAATTCAGGAATACAGAATTATTAATGGTTTGCGAGTTTTGATGTATCTAGTGGTATAAAAAAACCTCAAGTCACTATTTGTTAATATAAAATTTATATTTTCAAAATATTTTCATAAAAAAAATCAATAAGGTTTCACTAAGAATTGGGACGTTTCGATACATTCATTTTTAGATTTTATTTTTGAAATAACTCCTCAACTGGTCGCTATCATTTCTTTCAAAAACATAACTTTAATTTGACATATTTCTACTGGTTACCCTGTGTATTGGAGGAAACTTCAAATAAGTCAATGTATTGACATCTGCAACTTCTACAGAAAAATTTGTTTGATAAATTTCTTCCTTCATTTGAAACCTCTAATGGAATCAAGCTTGATGTGATATAGTTTGAATTGGAAAAGTTATACAGTTCATTTTTTTAATGCCCCCCACCCACTTTCATTTTTTGAGCGAGTCAACTCAAAAATTGAAATTTGGGATGATGAAATTATTGCATGAATACTTAATTTTGAAGTGAAATTGACAGATTAAACTCTCAAGATGGTGACTGGGCATCATCTGGGAAGAAAATTAAATGGAAAAGGGGGGTCTTGTGATACACCTTTCTGAAGCTCCTTACAAATGCTTCACAACCGTAGAACATGATGTCAATATTTTCAACTACTACAAAATGGTGGATTTTTTAATAATTGCCTGAATACATTGACGTTCAACTACATGATATGAGGTAATAAGCTTGAGGCCAATTCAGAAGATCCTCCAAATGGTTGCCTTGAACTTCTTGACATATGAACAACCTATTCAATATTTTACGCCGAACATTTTCGATCACAGTAACGTCAATATTCCTACAAATATTTATTATTCTCTGCCGTATATCCAATATTGAAGCAGGTTCAGTTTCATACACCTTCTGCTCCAAATAGCCCCATAAAAAAAGGCCAAAAGTATCAAATCTGGCGAGCGGGCTGGTCACTCTGTAGGAACTCGACGACCAATCCAAAGATCGGTAAAAGTAGTATTCAAATAGTTTCTTTCTCAGTCTGGAGTGATGTCGAAATACAATATCCATATCAAATTCATCAGGATTCGTTTTCACGATTTCAGTGATGAGGGGGTCAACAGTAGTTTCCAGTAAATTCAAATTCCTTTGTTGAATTTTGATCCATAAATAGACGTTCTACAGTTTATAATATGGTTTCCGAATATTCCTGCCCAAACGTTAATTTTCTCTGGTTATTGGGTATGTGTTTCCCGGAAAACGTGAGGGTTGGTGTCACTTCAATAACGGCAATTTCATCTGTGAACATTTTCGTTTGAAAAAATGTACATTCGTACATTGTGTATGGATAATATTACCCCATAGACATACCCAAAATCAAAAATTGACTTGAGAGTGAAAGAAATTCATTAACAGGTTATGTTCTGATACATCTTTCAAACTCCTAAGAAAAAAATTTCACAATTTCTGCTCTCCTGGTCATCATAAGATGTGAAAATGAATTTTTGCTGGAGAGATATGATACTGGAGGTAACACTAGATCAGGCATAATTATCAAATTTCAAACATTTTTATTAACGAATCATATCGGCAAAAGTGAAATTTGTGTATGTTCCGAAGTTCCACAATATTTCGACATAATATACGCACAGTGAACTCACCCTAACGAACTGGAGATCATCCGGCTCACTGGCTACCCCTAACAACAAAACCACCCCGAAAATCACCGCCGAAACTCCGATCATTCTTCAATATTCATTCCACTCGACAATAAAACACCAAATGTGTCATTGAATACATACATCGTATCTGAAAATTACGGCCGGGCAAAATAAGACGCGAATTAAAGAAGGCTTTGGAGGTCTGGCGTGACAAATGACTGTCGAGGTGTACCGCACGGAGCGTGACGATGTCGTGAAGGATGTGCTGGCGTTCATTTTCGATACCACTGCGATGATTTGCCCCGTGCTCCGTTGTGCATCGCCTTCTTTTGGTTTCGTCAGATGCGTTTGCAGAAGCGCTTTCGAATAGTGGAAAGTGGTTACAGGGAGAGCCGACGTGGTCGATGGGGCAGAAAGAATTTGGAATGGATTTGAAAATGATTTGTTCTGGCAATCGGTTGAAGAACATGTATCCCATAGAAGTACTACTCCTGAAGCACATTACATAATTAAACATTTTATCATCTGTTCAGTCTGGGTTTCGAAAGGGATTCAGTTGCACTACAGCATTGCTGCATGTTGTAGATGAAATTGTCAGAGCTTCAGATAGAGGACATTGTATAGCTCTAGTACTTCTCGACCTCAGCAGAGCCTTGAATATTGATCAGGAACATCATAACCAAATAATCAATAGTATGCGTGGAAACACCTATGCAGTAACCGAGGCAAATACAGCAAGATCAACGGAATATCATTATACGAATTGTTCTTTTAATAACTGTGTGTTCAATAAATAATTTTGTTCGAATTGCAAAAAATTTTCTCACCGAATATCCCTCGAACATTGATAAATAACTCATAATTTTATCACAACTTCCTCAAGCACGTTATTTTAGGTAACATCCCTCCGCCTTCGGCGTCGGGATGTTACCAAATAACGTGCTTTCGAAAACTGTGATAAAATTATTTCGTTAGTTATCAATGTCCTTGGGATATTATAGCTGATAATAATCGTCTTTATTATTATCAAAAAATATATAAAAAAACAAGATTGAGGAAATACATCAATAGAAGATTTTTGAAAATAAAGGGCGAAGTTCAGTTCAATTTATTCGGGAAAAATAAATTCAACAATTGAACTGTTATTTCATTTAACCATAAAAAATACCTCTCATTTGAATTTTCTTCGAAAGATACAAAAACAAAGAAAAATATACAAATTTGTCCACACTACGACAAGTAAGTTTACAGAAGTAGGAGCAAAACGATGTGAAATTCTGAAATCATATCACTGACGTGTATTGAATAAATGGCTAAATAGATTATAGGTACTTGAATTTTTGGAACCCAGCTGTGCGTAATTCGAGGGGAAGGTCATTCTTCACATGGCATATTTGATAACTTAAACATCTGCGGAAAAATTGAGTTTTAAAAGAAGGAAGGCTTTCTGGTAAGAATAATTTTGTGGGATAGGTTGGCGGCATACAAGATTCTTCTGTTATTCATATTCAACCAATAGGCATCTTTGAGCTTATGAGAGATTCTCTGAGAACGTCTTATTTCATAAATAAGTCTCATACACGAGTTTTCTACTTTTTGAATTTTACGTTTACTGGTTACTCAAATGTGGTCCATAGACAGTATTAGCATAGTTAAAATGTGATAAAACTGGTGATTCACATAATACTAATTTCAATTTCTGTGGAAGATGCTGCCTTACTACATATATCAATTTTAAAGGAGAATATGCACGTCGTATCAAGTTATTCAAATAAATTTAGAATCTGAGGGTGTGGTCAAAGATGACTCCAAAATTTTTCGCTTCTTCCACCAACTCGATATTCACGCCATTGATTGATATGTTTAGGTACTCCAAAATATCAGACCGTTTGGATTTTGGTCCAAATAATAGAGCATTTGATTTTTGAGAGTTCAGGAGTAAAAAGTGTTCTGTTGCAGCCCTATAAAAATTATCCAAGTCTTTATTAAGTATCATGCAAGAATCATTTACATCTAGAGGTGGGAAACTATAATAAATTTGGGTGTCATTCGCATAGAAGTGCACCTTGCAGTGATTAGAATTTTTCATAAAACTGGAAAAGTAAAGAGCAAACAGTATCGGCCCAAGTATAGAGCCTTGTGGTACTCCGCGCTGAAGAGAAAAGGAAGATAAAAAGGTTCCATGAAACGTAAATCTTTGATTTCTTCCATTGAGATAATTGGCAAGAAAAGTGATGGCTGAAATTGACAAACCAACGTAATGTGAAATTGATATCAATGAATCGAGCTAGTTGACTGACTGCAGTTGCTCTATTAGAGTGATTGGTTATTTTCCTCTGTTTCGTATCCAAGCCAATTACTTCAGCAGAAGATTTCGTCCATCCGTTGATTATATTTCTATCCAGAGGCATATTGTCATACCAGTTATCGCTTCCTGTCTTCCAGTGACGATTTGGCCTTAAAAATAGTCTATTTGTCTTGATATTTGTGCCTCGTTTTGATAATAATTTAATGAATAATCTGACAGGACAAGCATTGTTATCACTATTTTGAACTAACCATTTGCTAGAGGCGCAGTTCTTTGAACCCCCTTGGCAGGTTTTACTGAAAATTGGATTATATTCTATCCTATTAGTTGGAGATCCATTGTTGTCCTTTTCGATATGAAAATAATCAACTAAGCAAGCAGCACCTTCACCACCTCTCCAAGCCAATTCCACCGCTGCTATGTGATAAAATTTGCGTAGGAGTCCTATAGGGGTATTTTCATCCCAAAAGTTTATAATTTTACTCATTTCATTTGAAGTTAATGGTACTGAGCTTGTTTTGCGTTTAGTGGGATCTGTTTGTAAATTTCTTCGTGCTGCGTCGCGTGCATTCCGCGCTTGTTTGAATGCAACACTTTTAAAGGGGTCTAGCATGATATTATACTCCTTGTAATACTTTTCTTGTAATAATTTGCTTGTTATATTCCATACGGTTTAAACAGTAGCCTCCTTAAACTCTGTGCTATCCTTTTTTCTCATATTAATCGCGATTTCCATCCAATTCATATTTTTTTTGGCGTCACAAAACTCCATAAATATTTTCCAAGTGTATTTTTTACTATTGACAGTATTTTTTGGTGTATTTTCTTCAATGATTTTGTCAATTGCCGCATCATTTTGAACACCAAAGCGAGGAAGTGACATTTTCGAAATAAATTGAATTACTGAAATGTCAAACAACTTTATTGTGTTGGTTGCTTAGCAATGTCATGACATAAGTGATAACTACCCGTGAAAACTATCCATGGGTAGTTATCAGTGTAATGATGGTTTCATTGGTTATTTCGACACACATGACTAGAAATAGACAAATTTGATAGGATAATTTTTTTGGCAAAAAATTTTCATTATAATTATTTATTGAGTAAAAAAGTACCTAGTGGATGTTATGCTATTAGAGTGATATCAAACGAACTAGGATTCACTACAGCTAGAATGGCTGACTTTGCATTGATCGAATCTCATATTCGCTATGGAATAGCTTTCTGGAGCCACTGTAATTTACAGGTACAGAATACGATATTTGTGCTTCAGAAGGGGTCTTTGAGATACCTTAATACACAAAATATCAACTGTCACCTGTTTATACATACGAGGGTTGCCTTTTATATTTCGGGATTCGAGAACAAAAACAAATATTAATAATCGAAAATCACTTTATTGTTTTTCAAAATATTCCCCATGAAGATCTATACACTTTTGCATGCGTTTGAACCAATTGTCGAGGCACTTTTGCCACTCTGGTTGAGGTATTTTCAAACATGCAAAACCGCTTCTTCAGGTGTCGAAAAACGTTGAGCCTCAGTTTGTTTTTTACGTGCGGAAGTAAAAAGATGTAATTCGGTGCCAAGTGACTCATCAAATCGATGTTTTGGGTGCTCAAAAATGCAGTTGTTTGAGTCGATGTGTGAGAGCTCGCATTGTCGTGGTGAAGAGTGATCCGTCTTCGGCGGTTGGTTTTCCTGATTTCTTGAGAGACAACTGGCAAACAAATGGTTGTGTACGACGCAGAATTGACTTTTCTGCGTTGTTCCAGTGGCACGGTTACGACATGTTTAGTTTTTCCGAAAAAACAGGCGACCATTTGCTTGGAAGTGCTTCGTGCGCTTCGTCCAACTTTTGTTGGATTTGGCTCATCTTGAAACACCTATACAGTCGACTGCTGTTTACTTTCGGGCTCATACGCGTAAATCTACGATTCATGTCATAGACGTGTTTCGAAGCACCGCGATCGTATATTTTGAGCATTTCCTTCGACCAATCGACTGGAGCCTGTTTTTGAGCGATTGATAAATTGTGTGGGATCCAACGCGAACAATTTTTTTTGACAGTCAAATGTTTATGCAATATTGAATGTATGCTGCTCCCGCTAATGCCTAAGGTTGCCTCAATCTCACGATAGGTCACATGACGATCTTGCAATATCAGTTCGCGCACAGCATCAATGGTTTTTGGAACACCAACTGATTTTGGATGACTTTCACGAAATTCTTCTTGAAGTGAACTACGACCACGATTTAATTCACCATACCATCGATAAACACTGGTCCTTGATGGACTTCCATCGCTTAAAATTGAACTAAGTTCATCCATGCACTGTTGCTGAGTTAATCCACGTCGAAAGTTGTAAAAAATAATCGCACGAAAATGTTCACGATTTGATTCCAGTTTTGGGCCGAGATGAATCTTTTCAGTTACTGTAAACAACACAAATAGCGCGCGTATGTCAAAACATTCTGAGTACCTATGAGCTCAAAAATGTCCAACTTTACGATAGAGCCATCAGTTGCCAGATTGCAACATTAGGGTTTCCAAATCCCGAAACATAAAAGGCAACCTATCGTAATGGAAACAGTATGCCTAATCCTAAAAAAAAAACTAGCTTATACACTCCCGGAACAAATTGTCACAACACCAGGACAGGACCATATGCTTTACTTACCTTTTCCAAAATTCGCCTTAACTCAACATTCTCTGATTTATTAAAGCGAGGAGGGAATTTCTGTTAATTATTTTGGACTAATTCTAATCGTATAGGCAATTTTAATATTTTTAGATAAAACCAATCAATCTGAATGGTGTTATCAACGATCAGTATTACTGATAGTTATTGAATATTATTATTGAGCCTGAAA